ATTACGTCCTTGAGGAAGACGAAGACCTCGAAACCCTGGCCGAACAATGTTTTCCTTCATATTTTTCTGAATACTTTAGAACAACTTCGCGTTATGTTCGTGTCAATGAAACAATACACTGCCGTCAATCTGTTATGATATTCCATACGTTCGTTATTAAATCTGGGTCTGTTGTCGTACAATGGTCGCTTTTGCTGTGCAAACAACACCAGGCTGCTGATGTTGACGTCGGAAGCCTCGTGAGGTCAGAAAATACGAAGAGGCGCGTGAAAATCGCTACAAATCAGCGTTATACTAATTCTTCGAATTCTTTTCACAAGCTAATCAAAAACTCGGATTTCAACTGGTTGAAAAACGGAGATGGTTGTTGGCAAGCGAAACGATGTGAGAGTTGGACGTCCCTCTTGAACAGCAGTCATCTCTATTCCATTAATAAGTGGTATAAGCAAGGATAGCACGGTATTGAGCATCAAAATTCCTACCATTATTGTTTCCATAGGGGAAGTGTGGCGCAGTGGTCGGAGGCATCTTAAAACACACACAGGGAATCGATCTCCGCACCTATGGCTCACCAAGCCTTCCATCTCTCCGGAGTCAGTGAATTGGTACCGGACTTGTCTGGAAGGATAGCAGCACTGGCTCGATACATCGTTAGGCCATCGCGAGTCATTGTAAAGACCCGATATGCATTCAATCACCTCCAACGATAATTAATGAAGTCGAATGCATGGCGCATCCCTCGGGGATTGATCAACGCCGTTAGCTTTATCCTTTATCCCTCACTGTTTCCATTGGCCTGAATGGCGTCTAAACGAATGCAGTCCTATCAGCGCGAAGAGTGTAGCCAGCCTATATACGAACACTGGCTGACTGTTATCGGAACTCCAGCAAAAAAACACGGCTTTCCCTCGGCTCCTTACCATACCTAAAGGGAAAGAGGTTCGAGAAGACGATACAATATTGCTAAAGCTGTTTATTGCGACACTGCATGGATAACCGTATTAGGAGGAGAAGAGCATGCAAATTGATGGGAGATTCCTATCAAAATTTGGTTTTTCCAACGACATTATCATCTTTTCAAGAAAATAATAATGCCGTTGGAGAGACGATGCTCAGTGAAGTCAAGGAAGTGGGAAAAAGATTAGACTGTGCATAAATAGACTCAGTTTATGAAGAACCCATGGTGCAAAAGTGACCAATTCGAGCTGAATGGTTCTCTGATTACAGCGACACTAGTACGTGTGCCTTAGGAATTCAGTAAACACGAAGAACAATATGAAAGAGGAATCACTCAGAGAAAGGAGCACAGGCCGCATTCGTGCCTCTCAAAGCTCCCGACCAACTAGCGGACACAAAACTCTGTGCTCACCTTTTCAACTCAACAGACCTCCCAGCGCACCATTATGCTGGAGAAACGTGAGCTAATACTTCAACCACGTTAAGAACTCTGGGCACCACGCACAGAGCGCTTGAATGATGTCTTCTAAAGCTTAACCGGTCACAACGTGTAGCCCGAATGCGCAGCTCAAATGTTCGAAACTTAACCCATTTTTGATATCCAGGAGAACATACATCAGGAACAGTGAGTGCAGAAGACGGTGAAATAGACTCCAAGAGAGTACAAGTGTCGTCCTAAATGATTACTCAGACGAAGAGCTGCCGTGTTCGTGGCTAACATCAACCGTCTGCTTTCGCAGATGGTAACGACTTCAGGACTACGGAATAAACCTCGCGGACGTTGCCATATTCGAAACAGACACCCCAGCTATAGGCGACGCTAGCGCTAGAGCGAAACAGATGGAAACTGCAATGCTGTCGCCCGGACTACCAGTGGAGATGGGCCATCCACTTAACCAGACATCCAATTAAGCCCGTATATGTTTGCAGCACGATAGCATATGTCAAGAAGCCCTGGCTTCTCAACCACCATTAAAATTTTATCGAAACAGCCAAACCTTTCTAAAAATACGTTATCCCTCACTGAACTGAAAAATTCCACTTATTCAGGTCGAAATAGCTGCGAAAAGTTGAGTATGTTCGAAGAAAAAAAAAGGATGTTAAATAAAATATTTTTTTATTTCGCGTATGGTTCGCTTTTCTCGAATTCATCGCCTACAAAGGCCTTCGAACATTTCGCGCGTTGCTTTGGCTGCTGCTTGAGGAATTCGTCTTGAGAAAGGAGGAGTGAACCTTTCAGACTTTACAAGAATATTCCCACTCATTGAAGAAAAAAAGATTCAATCAAAGTTTTCTTCAGGAAGAAAAACATGTCCTTATTGATTTTAAACGAACCAAATGATCGACGGAACAGAAAAAGGATAATTACAGTAGGTAATGATACTATGCTAGTGTAAGACGATGCGATAGAGAACACAGCACTCAAGCCGGGTCTGGGGAGCCGCTTGAGGGCGCCGGTGTGGAACCGTTCTCAGCAACGCATCGCCGAATTGACGGAGACGCTCTGCGCTGATCGAAATTCAATACCTGGGCCTCTTGTTTACTTACGATCTCTGTGTATCGGCTTTTCTAAGTGACATTGTTCTGGGTTTGTCCGTCGAATATGTGAGGTGTATGTGTGTACATGTGTATGTATCCCATGTCTGTGCGTGTATATGAATGTATATATCTACGCATATTTCTTTGTGTGCATTGCACTATCTGGCCGGTATCTATGACGACAATGGTCTACAATTACATGACTAATTGGCGACGACAAGCAGGGTTTCATGGCTCAACATCAATAGTGAGTGATGAGTTTCTCTAAGCGATCGCAAAAGGAACCATGAAAGAAGCTTGTTCATATACAACTACAAATGGTTCTAATGAAAATGCTTTTAATTGGACCAGATTACCTATACTGCGTGGTACCACTAAAGGTCTCCTAATTTGAAAAGTCAACTATATAGCGAAAACCAATGCTTGCATTTCTTTGGTAGCAAAGCAAATGTTCACATATCCTTAAGCAACCCTGCAAAACCACAGTAGCGTAGTGGTTCGAGGCGCTATGTAACATGCATGTGAGCGCTGGTGCAACTCCGCACCAAGTCACACTAACCTCCGATTCCTCCGATTTAGGGTAATTAATATCACACTTATCAGGAAAAGCTTCCTTCCAATCGGCAAAGAATAACTGTTAATGGAGAAAATCCGGGACAGCACTGTCTTGGAATTCGAGAGACAATCACTTGGACCACGTGTCAGCGATATTCATTAACAAAACTAAATCCTCAGCTGGCGGCAGAAGACAGATGAAAACATGAACATCTTTGCAGACGAAGTATGTGAGAAAACCAACAGAATTAATTAATGAACCGGAAAGACGAATGCCTCACTATCACACGTGACCTGGCGCCCTATTTCAAAATAATATTTTGACCCCGGAGTGTGTCTTGCTCGCGACCCCACGTGAATAACGCGCGGGGTGGTCCGATTCGTAACGTGACGGTGAGTAGCCTTTCTGTTCAATATGGCGTCTATTTAAAAGTTTGTTCTTCATTAATACATTAGTCTTATTTTCAACCGAATAACTAAAATATTCTAATGTAAAATACATCCAGGCTCTGAGGAAGGCGAAATCGCCAAAGCGTCAGCCATCGACCAACAACGCCAGCAACAACGACAACGACAACGAAGACCTATACCAACCTCACATCAGCTAAAGAAGATCTTTATATATAACATAAGAGTTTATAAGATCATATAAATAAACATATTAACTACCTACGTCGAGGTTTATAGAAAGTCGGCCTTTTGAGTTAAGAATTAATTAAGCTTGCTGGGATTCGCACATGTGAATAACCGTTCCCAAATGATAAAGAAAAAGGCCATTCGGACTGCATCAGACTGCAAGGACAGATTATCGTTGTTATAATGCCATATCATTCCACTGTCTACAACATTCTAGGGCACCTGTGCTGCAGTGGTCCAAGGCGCCCTGCAACGTACACGTTGAATCGATCCCAACGCCGATCGCCCGCAAGCCTTCCGTTCCTCCGGGGTCGGCAATTTGGTATAAAACTTGTTTGGGAGGATAGTAGCACTGACTTGATGCACCGGCAGGACACCGCGAGTCATTGTAAATGCTAGATATGTATTCAGTCACCTCCAACGATACTTAATGAAGTTGAACGCATGGCGCATCCCTCAGGGATTGAACAACGCCGAGAGCTTTATCATTTAACCTTTTACACAATTTTAAACAACGCAGAAATTAAATATGATAGTAGAAAGAACTCCATGCGAATATTCTTCATGGGAAATAAATCTGATGCGCCAAATGTTTGCATAGTTCCGCGATCACCTGAAAGCGCTAAAGTCACACAGAATTTCAACAAGCAAACCAAGTAATCCGCCAAGCAAACAAATAACAATACAATACAGCAGATAATGTTACTTCGACGAGGAGCGACCATATTGGAAGTTCGGAATGGCTGCTTCAAGTCTCGCCTGAGGTTAATAAATATAGGAATAATCAGTTCCGGAACAACGCATTCCAAACGAAGACATAAAGATCTTACCCTTTCGCGTTGTTTTGATAATCATAAACATTGGATGTAAAATGGATTCGTTTTACCCCGCAAAATTTCCATTCCAGACTATTTTCACTTTATGGCAACTTGTCAACATATTCCATAATAAGGTCAACATCAAGTAAAATTATGAGGATTACCAACTATTTCTTATTACTTAAAGAAACAAAAAAAAACAAAAGAGACACAGACTGAAAATGTAACAGGAGTAATCGGTTCGGTAATCTAAAAGTCAAAGCAAAAAAACCGTACATCCTGAGAACTAGGTTGGAGATGCGAAATGATGTATGTGACAAGATCACGTAGTTAGGTGAGGTAACAGATATCGGGCATAACACAGTAAGGAGGAAAAAGAAGGAAACAAAGAACGAAGCGGTGGTGGTGGTCAAGCAAAGACACGGTAGAGATGGGAAAAGAGCTGGAGGATGGAAAACAATAAATTAATGAAAAAAGAGGAAATTAGGACTTGGACTAAGCACTAAAGTATTTCCGAAGCATCTCCACCATGTCGGCTTTCTTTGTGCCCTGTTTCACCGCACATGCCAGATGTTGGGCAATTGCGGCTCGTAATTGAACGGTCGTAAGTTTATCGAGCTGAAATCGATGTTGGAAACAAGTTGACTTTGACGCTGAACAACTACAATACTAACAATATGTTGAATTTTATTTACTGCCTATTCCTTTTTCATGGCAGAGTACAGTATAAAGTGTAGTATTTCACATTGTACCCTTCCATGTGGCTATACATTCACAGATATACATTCACTCATCTCCAACGATGGTTAATGAAGTCGAGTGCATGGCGCATCCCTCAAGGATTGACTAACGCCGACAGCTTTATCCTTCTTATCCTTTCTCTCTTCCATGAAGAAAGAATAGGCAGTAATTAAAGGTTTAAACATTTTGATTTCAATTACAGCTTGAGTTTAACTGCGTTTGGTGCCGATTTGTGCTCCTTAGGTTATTATCGCCGATAGATGATTTCAGACAGCACCATCAGAGTAAAAATTTGGCTGAGAGAAAGGAAATTTAAGGGCATCGATAGGTGTAATGGATAGCGCGTAAGCCTCATCGATGCGGTGACGCGAGCTCGAGGCCCAACACAGGTTCTGAGTTTTTAACACATCTCAGCATCGCAAACTATGATATTAATCAAGGAGGAAATAAATGCTTGGAAGAAAATGAAGACAAGAGAAAAAGACAAAAGGCATGAAACAAGTGAAAAAACATATTACTTTCAAATAATCTTCTATGCCAAGCTGATGTCAAACTTGTGTCATTTCGTGGATTTAATGTGTGAATTACAGCGAAGTGCCTATGAACATCGTTATTTCAGATAAGTTCCACAAATTGTTAGATAATAATGATAGTTGTTTCTGTACTCCAAGTACTCAAAAAATCAACAGACAAGGAGGAAATCATCCTGAGGAAGGATGAATTTTTAGCCCACAAATTCCATAAACGATCGCTTCGTACGCGAAAATTTGAAAATTATCTTAAACACTTCACCTCCATCCTTGTTAACCATCAAATAGCTCGAGTAAGAAAATTCCCATTCGTTCCTATGCAACGCCAGAGCTCAAAAGGCTCTATTCATTCGAGGGACACGAAAACCATAACACTTTTACTACAAGCCATTTATTTTCATTAGTGGCAATAATGTAGTCATCAGTATCAGTTCGTCGTGCACTATAGAGATGTTTACTTTTGCATTTACGAATATGTTGAACTACTTCCAAGTTTCAGTGATCCTGCCAAAGCAATTTGTCCCAATGTTAAACCCAGGAAAACATCCTAGATGAGACGAGGTAGGTAACCACAAAAAGGTTAAGAATCGTGCCAGGAAGAACGACTACCGCTGCCGTACCACATTCTTTTCTTTTTTGTAAAAATGAACATGAACACCTAAATCGGCACAGCAAGGCAAATGATGGCATCAAAAGATATCCTCATTGGATGTTCGAAATAATTCCTCCCGTTAATACAACTCATGCTAAGCTAATCTTATTGAAGAAGGTTAGAACAATATTTTCCAGTGGTCGTTCTAAGAAATACAAGGTTAAAAACAAAGAATAAATGTGGAATCTGCTCACCATGCCTTGTTTTGCTACCTCACGTGTATCCATCAGTGACAAGTCTATCTTGGATACCTTACTTCGAACTTCTTCAGAAGTGTTTTCTAAACAAATGACAAGGTGTAACAGATCTTTCTTTACTGAATTACTTTACTATTGAATCCTTCCCCTTGTGAGCACTTTTATACTTAAAACTAGCAAATCTTATTAAGCTCTGTAAGAAATTTTTAAATTCTATTAAAAACATTAATAACATGCTTTGCACTTCCATAAACTGTCGTGAAAAGAAAATAACTGCAAACCGAACAACTGACTACTCTGAATTTTCTAAAATCAAAGCGCCACCTGATGGAAAACGATGAGGTGAAATCAAAGAACTTTTGAACATTCGACCATTAAGGTTGTTCCAATTATAAAAATAAAAAATTTACACTTAAATACTTCACCGACATAAAAGTCACCATGAAGTCTTTTTTGGCCAGCACCCGGCGCCATCTGATTCAAATTTTCCAGATTGAAATGACCGATAAGATTGACCATCTCTTTCTTCACCCGTTCCGCCCACTCGGGTCTGGCATGATACGGTACTGTAACGGGTTTCTCAGGCCTCAGTTGGAATCATCATAAAAATGTTTACAATCCTATAGAAATATTCCTGAAATAACAAAACCTATTGTTCTGCCAGCTTTAAGTTTATATGCTTGGAAATTTAAGAGATACGAATTCAAACTATTAACTCCCAAGCCCGACTTTCTATTAACCTCGGAATTGATTGAATATATCTTTCTACTTCTGTTCAGCAAACACGAGGTGATATTTTATTTCTTTATTTACGCACAAGTTGACGTTTCGGCGGATTTCGCCTTCCTCAAAGCCTGGAAGGGTCAAGTTGACAGCAATCCACTCGGCCAAACACCTCCATAACCAAACAGAGAAAACACTAAACCAAGATTTCAATCACATTTGACATAGCTCTGCACACTCACCGCTTTCTATGAGTTTTCTACTGAGTATGTCGCGTGAAAACCGACCGCACAGAATTCACATGGAAGCGTAATGTGCCCCTCCCATTAGAATAACAGGTTTATATACTGTCCAATATCACGCGTGATAACGAGGCATTCCTCCCTGCGGTTCATTTTCGGATTTTTGGAATTTATCCAGAATGCCTCTAGAGTTTTGCGCGCTTGTGTTCTCGATTCTTGCGCGAGGATCGTAACCCTTACTTCAAAATCTTCTCCGTTATGTTTCTGCGTGCTATGCGTACCTAGTGGAGTACTTAGCTTACGTTTGCCGACTAGGTGTTCTTTTATACACCTGGGCACATTACGCTTCCATGTTAATTCTGTGCGGTCGGTCTTCACGCGACATACTCAGTGGAAGACTCATAGAAAGCGGTGAGTGTGCAGAGCTATGCTAAATGTGATTGAAATCTTGGTTTAGCGTTTTCTCTGTTTGGTTATGGAGGTGTTTGGCCGAGTGGATTGCTGTCAACTTGACCCTTCCAGGCTCTGAGGAAGGTGAAATCCGCCGAAACGTCAGCTTGTGCGTAAATAAAGAAATAAAATAGCACCTCGTGTTTGCTGAAAAGAAGTAGAAAGATATATTCAAAGCATTAAGTTTTACGAGAATGGGGTTCAGCCCAGCACATTAGGTTGCCAAGCGATTTCTAGCAATTACTCACAATTAGACTTTAGTGGAAAACTTACACAGGGTGTCAGTGGGTTGGATGATTCGCTCACCAACGACATGTTCGATGACCATTGAATAAAACGATTGCAGTCCTGTGAAAAAAAACCGTAATAAAGTAAACGTGAGCTCATGGAAACAAGAAAAGTTGTGGAGAAACCACAAAAAATGGAACTGAACATGCTAGGTTGTTCAACAGACTTGGATTTTCATACTGCGATGGTGTATACGAGCCAGTCAGCTTCTTCACAAATGCTGACGCTACGCTAACATCAGCAGCAGACGCTGTAAATAAAAAATAATAAAACCACAAATAAAGCAGTAGTTTTGTTCTAAATTATCATTTTCTTTGGACACTCATAATTGGACAACCTTTCCAATTACTCATTCATTCAGTACATCTTACTTACTTACTTGACACTTGAACGGCCCCCAGCATAATAACCATTTTTCGGAGATTTGCTGGTTAAGCCATTGTGGTTCCCTGGAATTCCGATGTCAGCCTGGTCTTAGTCTACCCCAGGTCTTCACCACCACAGCCAGTCGCAGCCTTTATGGATCAGACGGAGATTTTCCACCAAGCGACAAGTTTGATGGGCGGTGGTGGATCTTGGTATTGGTTTACTCTTAGCTAGGTTTCTTGATGGAAACGCCGGACTCCTTCTTACCTTGGGAGACCCTGCTGGGAAGTCGAATCCTCCCACTGTACATCGCAATTCGATACCCAGGAACACCTCCCAGCCACTATGAGGCGGTAAACCATTGGGAGAATTCAGTACATCGTAAAAATTTATTCCTCCTCATGTTAGGGACAAAGTAAAAAGTCAAGTACATCAAATTTCACATAGCCACCCTCATATCGCCAAAGAAAAAACAAGTAACTTATAGGTAGCCTATATAACGCCCTAAATGGGAAGTCTAAGGACAACTAAGTACATCACTGTTTGCTCATCAAGAGAACAATGAATTATTGATCAGCACAATGCGCTTTGCAGAAAGACCACCAACAGTAGGAAAAGATATGAATGGGTTCAATTTTTCGTTTTTTGGAATGGAACTCACGTTTGGGCCATTCTCCTTGAGGACATTTCAATTTTTCGGACACATCTCGAACATCTTCAGCAAACGGTAGAAACACAACATGAAAACCGTCGAAATCGTAGTCACGGATCGCGTCTGAGCGACTCTGAACAGCAATTTATTAAATATGCACGCTTAAGACGGTAATTACTCGCACAAAAGCAATACCGACGCATAACCATACCTTTCCCCAGCATTTCACATACTTGTTAAAAAGCTGCTAAATTAAAAATTTCGCGCTATATATAAGGGAAGAGATAGTTACAATATATCAAAAATTTTAATCTAGGTATTCCTTCCAACGACGCATGAAAACCCCGAGACCTTCGTACATTACTTATGCTAAAGATAAGCTCATTATATTGGAAGCGCACAAATGGCAAGAAATATAGAAAGTATTACTTACCATGATAAAAACAAGCAGAAACTACAACTAACTTCTGTGACCCGTTACCTACTTTTCCTTTTAAACTTTATGATATTTTCTAAGTTTTTACTCAATAGCATCCACTTTTATGGTTGTTAACAATTGGCCAAACCACTTGTACCAGTTAGCAACGGCAATCTGATTAAGTGTTGAGTAACTAGAAAAGGCATCAGTAAAGCTTCGATCACATTTACTAGCGTGGCATTGTTCCTTCCGTCTCACGAAGAGAACCATGCCATACTAGTATAAGCTTTGGCTTCCGAACTTTTACGTGTGGCTTCGACTACTGCTTGAAGATTTTCATTTCATCCTGAACATCGTAGAATACTGGTCGAATTGATTCTTCCTGGAGCCCTGAAATACCCGGATTGGAGCGTTCCCAAATAGACTGCAGTGCGCGACTTTTTTTTTCTCGAACGGGTCCGATACCAATTTCCCGACCCCGGAAGAAAGAGAGACCAATCTGGACCGAAATGGAATCGAACTAGCACCATGCTCGTGATGACCGACACCACTACCACTGCGCTAAGCGCCCCTCTTAAAAGAGTGTAATAATAACAACAACGACAACATTAATAATAATAACATTACAGTAATAATAATAAAAAAATTATAATAAATCCTAAGAACTTCCAATGGTTTATCGTTTCATTGTGGCTGAGTGGTGTTCTTGGGTGCCGAGCTGAGCTGCGCGTACAACTGGAGGGTCGTTCGTCTCCTCAGCAGCGTCTCGCCAGCTGAAAGGAAGTCCGGGGTTCCATCAGAAAGTCAGGAAGTTCAGCTACTAATAGTAAACCAATACCTGGACCCACCACCCTCCTGGTATCAAACTATTCGCATGGTGGCAAATCTCCCACTAATCCTCAAGGGCTGCAACTGCCTGTGGTGGCGACGACCTGGAGTAAACTTTGGCCTGGCCGACCTCGGGACTCCAGGAAACCACAGTGGCTAAGCCAGCACAGGACTCCGAAAAAATGGAAATCATGCTAGGGTCCGCACAAACAATGAGAATGGACCATCCAAGTAAGTCCAACTTCCTATTAAGCTAGGCATTGATCAAATAATTCTAGATTTTCTTGTTGAGCAAACCACACAGGCCTCACCACAGCAAGACTCATGAGAGGTGAGAGGTCACAAAATCTCGGGTTAGGCAGGACGTCAACTGAACCGGATTCGACGAACAAATGCACGACATGCCATGAAGATTGTTTCTTATTCTGCAGGTATAATGCCAAAACGCTCTCCACAGACACCATCTTCACGCCCTTCTCGTAGCCGCAGATCGCATTAAATTTCATGTGATCCACTTAGAAGGAATAAAAAGCAGGAACATCGACATAAGCCAACTTAACCTCGGGATCCTTGTCATCTGTGGAGAAAAAGGTCCCATCACGAAATGGTGGTGGCGTAGGCTTCGTCATACATCCGCCCACAGTCCATCTCGTCGATTCGTAAGAAATCATTCCCCTCACATGGCTGTCGACAGTCTCCAACCAAGGTGTAGGATCGCCATCATCAATTAGTACTCACCGAGCGATGAAGCTAATGAGCAGGAACTAGATTCGCTTCACTATCAGTCGACGAAGTTATCCGCAATGATAAAACATATTAAAAATTTGTTGTCGGAGACTTCAACTCCAGAGTAGGAATCGCCAACGAAAGCAAAAACAGGATCGGAAACATGGATTAAGAAAGAAAATGAGCAAAGAAGCCACCTTGCAGGACTCCTACAAGAAGCACGCCTCTTCCGCGGAAACTCGTTTTTCCAGAAGAAAGAACGATGTCGCTGGACATGGCAGTTTCCCAACGACACGACTTATACGGAGATAGACCAAATTCTGACAAACCGAAGATGGTGTCTAGTTGACAGATCGGTAGTTCCATCATTCAATAATAGATCACCGCCTTCTTCGCGCGAGGATTCGAGGATTCAATTTGGTTGTCAGCTGAAAAACAATTCATGTCTCGCTCAAAAGTCGTTCTTGAGCGATTTCGCTGCGCGGGCCCCCCTCTCCCTTCCTCACTCCTCTGGTCGAAGCAGCACAAAAAAAGTCACCGTTCTGAAGAAACACCGTCGGGACTTGTGCAATTATAATGTTCCGTTGTCGCCCTTGATGAACGAAGATGGGATCACCAAAAGCTAACACCATGATGAAGAATTGATAACGGAAAAGTTCTACGCTGACCTTCGCTCCGTTCCACAATCCCCGTCCCAGATCCTAAAATTTCCGCTGGGAAAAAACCACCTGGATTTCTTGTGTATGAGTTCCGACTTGCGATAGAAATAATGAAAAAGGGCAAGTTAGGTTGTTCAGAAATAAACGAGCCTTTTAAAATACTTATTTTTTCAATATGTTTTTTACTAATAAAATATTCTTTGCACCTTGCAACATTATATATCATTAGAAAGCTGATTCTATGCTCTTACTAACCATGTTCTTATATTTCGCCAAAAATTAGATTTTTTTCTTACCAATTTTGAGCCTGCAATTTTATAAACTCGGTCGGAGTGCAGCAGAGACATCTCGAAACATTAATGAAGTATGAGGTGAAGGCAGTGTTGGTGAATCAACAGTGCGAACCTCTTCCCGGAAATGCCGATCTGGCGATTTCGACCTCGAAGATAAGGAAAGCCGCGGACGTCCCAATGAACTTGACGACGAGGAAATGAAGACACTAGGAAAAGCAAACATGCGAACAACTCTTTGAGAGCTTGAAGAACAACTTGGTGAAAGCATAGAAACAATTTGCATTCACTTGAATCTCATAGGAAGGACAAAAAACTCGACAAGTGGGTGCTGCACGAATTAAACGATCATTTTAAAAAAATTACCGTTTTGAAGTACCGTCTGGTCTCATTCCGCGCAACAAGAACGACCTTTTTTTTGATGGAATTGTGACTTGGAACGAGAACTGGATCCTGTACGACAATCAGCGAGGTCCATCTCAATGGTTGGACTGCGATCAGGCTCCACACCACTTCCCAAAGTCAAAATTGCACCAAAAAAGGCTATGGTGACTGTTTGATGGTCTGCAGGCGGGTTGATTCATCACAGATTCTTGAATCCGAGCGAGTGAAACGATTATGACAGAGGAGTATTGCCAACAAATCGACCAAATGTCTCCGACACCGTAAACTCCGACAACTACGATCGGCATTAGTCAACAGAAAAGGACCAATTCTTCTTCACGACAAGGCCCGGCTTAACGTTGCGGAACCGGCGCTGCAAAAGATGAACGAGTTGGGCTACGATCAGAGTTCTCGTCTACCGACTATCACTTCTTCAAGCACCTTGAGAAATTCCTGCGCAAGAAATGCCTCACCTACCACGAAAACGCAAAAAATGCCTTCAACGAATTCACCGCTTCCAGAACTCAAGAATTTCATGGAACTGGAATTGATAAACCTGTTTCTGGTTGGAAAAAACGTGTACATTCAAATGGTTTTTATTTTGAATAACAAACTTTATTCGAAGCAAGTTATTACATCTTAAATAATATAGTTAATAACGCTCATTTATTTCTGAACAACTTAATAAAATTTAAATACACTTCTCGCGGGCTCTATGAGAGCATAACTTCAAATAAAAGAAGTACCAGACCAGTGAAAGAAGTCGCGCACGGTCATCCTCTTCAAATGCGAATTATCGTCCGATCTGCTTGCTGAGTGTATCTACAAGTTGTTCAGAACATACATCGATAACTAAATATGGAAGGGTCAGTTACTTAATAAGAAAAATAAATGACAGATGGACGAAAAAAACTGCTGAATGGACTCCACCGCGATGTAAGCATCCACTAGGACGACCATCTACACGTTGGGTGGACCGGTTTTCGTAGCCAAATTCAGATAGCTGCACTCGTAGCTGCAGTTGTGTTACAGATCAAGGTATCAGAATCGCACACGCCACCATGCTTGAAGCAAACCAGAATGGTGACGACGACTACAAGGCTAGGAAATGAAAACGTGCTAGGGTCCGTACAATAAGCGAAGACGCGTCCTCCAAGTATCCAAGTTAGTAAGTATCCGATCCATTGTATTGAAGTGTTTTTATATGCCGATTTACTTGGTATTTGCGGACGCGTTCGTAAGAAAATTGTTTTACGGATCCCGGTATGAGACTTGCACATGCCACCGTGCTCAAATAAAATAACTACCATGGACCACGAGTGCGACGAAAAGAAACGAATGGCAAATATGCTGGGTCCACATAACTAGTTAAGACGGACCGTTCAAGTATCTAAGTAAGAAGATTTTTTTTTATTAATTTTACATGGCCCGTCAACACATCTACTGCGCGGATCCCATCTACTTCTTACATTTGATTCGTTTTACTTGTATTAATTCTTCAGAACGCTCTTCAAACACTTCGAGTGTTGTTTCGGCTGCTGCTTGAGAATTTCGTCTTCTTTATGATTTTCGCAGAATACTGGGCAAGTCAATTCTCCTAGCAACCTTGGAGTATGCCGGACTAGGACGTTCACATGTGAATTGGAGGATAGCGTTGTGGAAGGGGGTCGAACTAGCACCTTTGCTTCCTGATCGACGGCATCACTAACCATTGCGTTATCTGCTTCCCAGGTATCAAAGTCGTGATAATAGTCATAATAGTAATGATGGTGATGACAGTAATAATATACTGTATTCTTTATTATCACACGCGAGGTTAATCACGGAAGCAGACGTTTTAGCAGATTTCGCCCTCTGCAGAGTCTGGAAAGGCCACGTTGACTGCCCACCCGAACACCTCCATAGCCAAAACAGAAAAAAAGCGGAACCAAGCTTTCAATTGTATTGAAAAAAAAACATAGCTTCTTCGCACACTCACTGCTTTCTTTGTCTAGCAGTGACTATTTCACGTGCAAACGAAGCGCATAGAGTTCACATAGATGGCTAATTCTCTCTCTCATTAAAGTATCAGTTAGTAATATCAGTGGAAGGCACGTAATAAACGGCTCAGAAGAAGGCGATACTGTCGAAACGTCAGCTTTAACGGAATAAAGGATAAAGTAACACCTCGTGTTTGCTCAACAAGAATATCGAGAACTATTTGATCAATGCCGAGGTTAATAGAAAGTCGGTTATGTAAAATATCAGTGTTAAACATTCGGAACTCCACTCTTAGTATCCTTAAAAACGAAATAATAATCTAAATAATTTCGAAAAGAGTAGGAAATAATAGCAGAGAAATAATGCAAAACCCAATTTCCCATATGCTCAAGTTTGTTGAGAAAAAAATGTAGAGATAAATACGGATAAAACAACGTCGAATGAGCACTCACCTCATTCTTCTCCGACATGTGTGGAACTAAAGCCACTAAACGCACTTTCTGATTCGCTCTCGAACAAAACCGACAGATCATCGCCATTTTTCGCTGCCAGCATCTTTCCAGCAAAGCCCGATATAGGCAAGCCGATCCCAACACAGACTAGAACAGTTCACCTAGAGAGGTAATGTTAGTTTAATTCAAAAACAAAGGTAAGTTCTTCAGAGAAAAAACTTCTAAATGATATAGCTCATCTCAAAAAGAACTTTCTTAATAACCATTAGAATCTACATCTTTTTGTTAACAAGATGCAAGTTAGCTTGTTTTTTTTTCAACTGTATCGAACGTAAAGTTTTAAAACCATGGAAGCAATGAATTCTCGGAACGCATTTTTAGCAAAGGCTTAATTGCCGAACATTTTTTCGATAAGTACAAGACGAAGCAATAAGATGAAGCGCGAGAAAAAACTGCCGTTGGTTACTGGAATTTTCGATAAACACGCTGCCACCCACAGGTAGATTTTCTTAATGCAATTCCTTCAAATTCTGAAGAGTTAGCCGTCCACTGTGTGGCGGAGCTTTGTTATGTAGAATTTGACCTTCTGTATTGTCAAATTCCGTGTGTACAGACTGCGGTTTTTAAGAACTCCATCGAATGCGTGAAAAATTACTACGATTATTTTTCCAGGATTCAGAATGCTTTTGAATTAATCCAACTAACCATTTCTTCGTCCAAATTCTGGTTTGGAGAGTGTCCATTGAATTTTCTATGCTACAGTGTATGAGTGATTTCCCAACGTTGAATACAATTTTTCTTACATAGCTCAACAATGATGGCATACGATTCGTTTCTTTGCATCGATCATCCATGAACATCTTTGGATTCCGCACGGAGATTTGGGCTTGAGGATGTTCGTTCTGTTTATGAATGTGGTTGAATGTTGGTCGAGTTGACTCTACATGAACTCCGGTGCTGTCCGTGCTGTGGTGCTCCTACGTGGATTAGAGAGTATGAACTGAACCTAGTCCAATACCAATTTCCCGATCCAAGAGGGATTGGAGACTTTGCGAGCCTGGTTTGAGAGTCGCTGGTTTGAAATAGTCCTCTGCTGATAACGAATGGTTCCACCAGTTGCGCCATTCATGCCTAGTTGTCCTAGCACAAAAATACGACCAAAAAACAATCATTTTTTCTGATGAAAGAAAAACAGTGGTCTTTGCCGATAAAAGAAAAGCACAGCAGACTACACAACAATCTCTTGCCCTTGGTTCAATTCTTAAGGTATTCGTTCATCCATTTTTGCTTTTCATTGTCCACCAATTAAAGAACTGTTATTGGAAGATTAACGGTGAATTCTTCTCTAACCTCCCCAATAGCTTTCAAAAGACCAGCCCCGATTATTGTTCTCCAACCATTTTCACCTACAGCACAAATTATCTTGGTCATGAAAACTCATATCTCATTTGCGAAACTCATCAAACCATATAAAAACTGCGACTCTGGAAGCGCTTCCCTAGCCTATATTTTGATGATGTTCTGAAATGACTAATTGGATACTTCAACAGCCCGTCCACACTGGTTGTGCGGGCCACAGTCCATTTTTCGGAGCTTTGCTGGTTTAGCCATTGTTTCCCAGCAGTCCCGAGGTCAGCCTGGCCAAGGTCTGCCCAAGTTCGTCACCACAACAGGCAGTCGCAGCCCTTGTGGATCAGAAGGAGATTTACCACCATGCGACTTTGATACCAGGACGGTGGTGGATCCTGGTATTAGTTTACTCTTAGCTAGGTTTCCCGATGGAAACGCGGGACTCCTCAGCTTGAGAGACCCTGCCAGGGGATAAATCCCCCGCTGTACACCGCAAGCCGACGACCAGGGACACCTCCTAGCCATGATAAGGCGGTAAACCCTTGGGAAGCTTGAAATAATAATTAGAGTGAAATAGTTGGAAAATAAACAGGTCGTAAAGTGGTGCAAGGCAACAAAGTAGCCAATAAATATTTGAACTAAATTTACTCATTTAATGGTTCCAAATCTCTGGATCTACCTAATATAGAGGAAATTCTCATCGATAAATTCGCTTGGTCACGCCAAAAAGAAAGTTGAAAATCAAAGCATCACTTCCATCCAAAGGGGGTAAATCGCTGAGATTACTTACAAGAACCAAAGAAAGGTGACATGTTTAATCAAAGAGAGTGTTTCTTTAAATAAGAACAGTCCCGAAAAGAAAATATACGTCGGAAATGTGGTAATGAAAGAGAATCTCACACTCTCATCTGGATAGAGAAATCGTGACGGCAAGATATGGTTTCCAAAATCTATTTTGGATAATGGCTTGAATCCCAGTAATACGATACCTGAAAATGTCGGAAAACAGGGACATTAAAATTAACCGACTAGCTCGTGGCCAGAAGTTTCATTTCAACTATAAGGTGCACTAAAATCCAATGTAACCAGTTTCTCTTCGGTAGAAAATGTGAACTACATGCATCAATGATCAGCGGACGTTCTGAAATTATCAGATGATTTCGCGAAAAAGAATACAATCAGAAAAAGATAGTTTGAACAACTCGCATATCGGGTTGTACATTACATAAGATCACTGTCTAATGTTGGACGTTTCGAAACATGAAAACACTTCCAAAGCGAAGCGTGATTTTCTTGTACCCACTAATGCAATCCTAAAATACTTTCCAAAAACAGAAACTTCCATATTCTTCTTAGAACGGTGCATAAAAGTCCACGTGATGGCCCCGCATGGTGTCAAAACCAAAAAAGTCGACATGTGATAATTTAAAGACCCCTTTTCGGTTTTACCGCACACCCACTCACTGCTCACCACACCAATTCAAACAATATCCTGCTACTTCGCATAGTTATTCTGTGAAGCGACCGTTGTTATGAACCGAGTTCACCAATGTGGACAATAGACGAGCTCCAATTAACGCGTTCTGAGCTCAAAGTGGGTAAAAGAGCCAGAAAAATTTCCAAAAATTGTTTTCGGGGGCTTTAAAACAAAAAACAGAACAACCGCAAAGGGAAAACAGTACGAAACTTCGAATGGAAAATCGAGACACATAGCCGAGTTTCAATCTAGGGCATATTTCTATTATAGATTCTTCGGTTGGAAGAAAATTTCTGAATAATAGCAAATCACTAAGTAGCTTAAGCCAGGAAGGGACCTCGTCTTAAAAAGGGATGACGTTTGATATACTTTGCTACGAAAATAGAGTAATTCAAAAAACAACACTAGAAGTAGCCGATCAAAAAGATAAGCTTAAAGATTAACCAGTATAACAAATTATAACCGTAGCACGTTTAAGAACCGTGTTCACCGAACAAGACCGACATCACAACAGAATTTAGTAAAAAATTGAGTGGGATAGAGGGAGATTCGAGATGAAAGGCTTATTTAATCGGGGAAATGTTTTCTGTTCACACCAAAAATAAGGACACAAGAAATAGAAACTAACCTTTTGCATCAAACCTGGTTAAAGCCTCCAACTCTGCTTGGTCATTCACAATACACTCTCCTCCGATCGTTATCGCCTTCTTCAATTCAAATTTGGCGCGCATACGATTTTTCATCTCTTGTTCTGGGATAAATTCCATTCTACAGGGCTCTTCATTGTGTTCTTAGACTATATTTGGATACAATTCTATACACGATTATAGACCTTTTCGAACTAAATTTTTTTTTTTACAAATCCTTAAAACCTTTTTGAGTATGAAAACTTCACCAAGCCATGCCGTCTCAGCCAAGGAATCAATTTCTTCGTTACTCCTTGTGTCTATTACGGAAGTGGCAGAATGACTTGGAGGTGAATCCTTAAAAGTACTAAAACCCTCCATAAATAGAACTCTGATACTTCGTTTATTTAACAGCAGTCTGAGGAACATATTTATTTAATACTGTAACTCTACATTGTCACGCACAAGCGATCCACACTTTCACCTCGGTCGCAGCGACGCGACAAACATACGATGCGTAAAAACTATAGGATACAGCATACTAACATTCATAGTAGTTGAAATAGCAAGCTGAGGAGCATGGCATGCATGCGGTTAGCCAATAGGCTTTGCAGAGTGTGACCTAATTTCTAGAAAACTCACAGTGCGTGGTAACCAGACTTGCTGCTTTTCAAGAGGCATTTCCGTTTCGTAATCCAAATACTCCTTCGGTGGTGGGCGAGCTTCACTAGCTAATGCATAACTAGAAGGAATAACCTGTTGCAAAATCCACAACCAAATGGATTGTCTTATTTCGTGTTTTCTCTACTACCAAATTGTTATACGTAGTAAAAGCATCTAGTAAACATAAAGAACACAAGAAGAACTAATGAAGAATTTGACAGTTACGAGTTATCTCGTTTGTAGTGAAACATTGCAAAAAACAACATTGGTGTCATTATGTGAACAGTCAACGAAGTTTACACGTCAAATGCCAGCATCAAAAGACTGCTCAGAAAATTGAACTGAGTCACTAATACCACTAATCTACTACGTTTGGTCTAAATGATGGAGAAAATGAGAATTTCCTAACATTTACGAAATCTACGCACTGAACTACACTTAGTTTCTATCTGGGACGATAAACAAGAGATATCTTGAATTTCACATGGCTGAGGCGTTCTTGTACGTCGAACCGCAATGTACAGAATGAGGCTAAGATATTTGCAAAATACCGTAACGCAGATTTCTGAGGTGGAGATAGAACCCATTACTACTCTTTACGAGAATTAACGCGTTCACTATTACACCATGTGAGTCCTTCCATTCGCCTTCCTCTCAGCCGTGTCATTGACTTATTTTTGCTTTCAGCAGTCGCCCCTCAACAGGATTTATATGGGCAGCACAAATCGGCACTGCATCGAGTTAAGCTGAAGCTGTACTATAAATCACAATGTGATCACTTTTTATTTACTGCCTGTTCTTTGTTTTTAGGAGTACGACGTGAAATATAGCCACAATGATGCAGAAATATTTGCAAAACTCCCGATTTTAGAGGTCTGTGATATGGCAAAAAACACGTTAGCCTCACCCCTAAGGCTAATATTGGATTTGATCTCCACTGAAGACACCTGCGCTCCGTAATTTTGTAAATGGTTATATTTCCCTTCATACCCTGCCATGAAGAAAGAACAGACAGTAAACAAAACAGTGACTGCAATGTAGAGTTTGCTCATACTTGAGAAAGTCTCCAAAGCCATGAAGGTCTTTGATTTTTTTCTCCGGAAGCCTACCTAATACGGAAATGATACAAGATTCAATGCTAACCTGCTAAGAAAATGATCATCAGGTGGCAAGTGCTTAGGTCCTGAGAATGCCCAACGGTGATTACAAAGTTTGAGGACAGAAATGTTGCATGGTCAACAAAATATGGAAATCTGCTGTGGCCCACATGATTGCTTTCGATCCGTGAAGATGATTCATTTAAACATTCGAGTAAGTATATGGTTTCACTCCGTGGCATACATTTAATTCCCTTCTCACCATCATTTATACCTTTTTTGCCCTAAACATAAATTCCTGTGTGTAAAATAGTTGGAGTTTCAACTTTATTTCAGAAAATTAGTTTGAAAGTATAGAAATACTTACACAGAAACGCTAAATCTCACTCCCGGACCAAGTTCAAATGGTATGTTGCTGAACGCCCGGAGAGAAAACGTCTTTTGGAACACTCTGGAAGAAGTGCAAAACTTGGGCTATCACAAGATAAAAGACGTTCTCAGCACTGATCAATCCTTAAGGGATGCATCATGCACTCGACTTCATTAAGCAACGTTAGAAGTGATTGAATGCATATCTGGCTTAAGTAATGACTGTGATAATTTGTGACGCCTACTGATGTACGAAATCAGTGTCACCACTCTTCCAGACAAATCTGGTAGTAATCTGCTAACTCTGGAAAAACGGAAGGCTTTGTGAGCCCAGAGTGCAGAATCGAACCAGCGACCACGTGTATTGCAGGTCACCTCTAACCACCCCACTACGCGCGTCCCATAAAGAACCCAAATTGCACAACAAATTGAAAACTATTTAGTCTAAGTCGAAAAGCAATAAAAATCCACAAACTGTGTTTCCAAGTCCTCTATTGAAGTGCTTACGTCAATCTTCGGGTCGAGTTGACGCTAAAAGGCAAGCATGTATGAAAAGGAAAAAACGAACATTTAGGTATGCTTCAAATTGCATTCCTTAATGAAAGATACAGCAGTTTACGAAACAGAACGTCTCAAACTAAACCATGGAAAAATCTGGAACTGAATCCCGACATTAAACAACCCACCCAGACCCTCGTGTCTCGCTCATAATTCTCGTCATCTTCGCTTCCTTGTGGTCGCAATAAAACCACAGAAAATTCACCCATCGTTCGCCTTCCTTTCTGGCGACGAAATGATTCCACACCTTTCATCATTCTTGTCTGTAACACAAGATGTGATATCGAACAGAAAAGTAGAAGAGATGCATTATTCTGTGGAACAAATGGAGCTATCAGTTTCTTCTTTCAATAAAATAATCTTCGCCTTGCAAAAATGATTCGGATGATTCCAAATAAAACAACATGCGCTACTTGGTGGTAATATATAGAAATGTTGTGTATGCAAACAAAACCTATCGAGTTAAAGACGACATACAAAAAAAGCTGAAAAATTAAGGCCAGTACAAATGAATGGATCATCACGATTTTGAAGGAACGGCCTCAATTGCTTGCGGATAACTGATTGTCTTACGTAGACATTTGATCGCAACATATTAACTAAACGAACAGCTCATAGTACCAAATATATACTGCAATCTCCAGTTAACCACATCCCAGTAAACTTGCGTGTTTTCTTTCCAGTGATATGCGCAAATTTTTCTCGCATTTTAGTGATTTTCCATGTGAGTAAACCAAATTAATCAATTAAATATGAACCAAAAGCAAATTCTTATGAGATGCCTTCCTTAAGAGTAGTCATCAGTCTAGAGCACTCCGACAAGTGGCCTCTGTTCCAATTTTCTTTGAAATACCAATCCAGAAACTTTATGAACAGTTACGAAGACTGGAATATGAGCATGCACTGTTCGTCATTCAGGAGGATAGCACAAGGTAGATTTATTAATAACGCTGTCCCGTGAAGCGATTGTCGTATTCGGAATCAATATTCGAAATAACCAAAAATTGGGACGCTTCTAAGAGAGCGAGCTGATGCAATGGAAACATACTAAAAGGTACAAAAGCCAATTTATTATTGGTTGCGAAGGTATCCTTGAAACACCTGCGATAGCCGCCTATTCAAAAATCAAAAAAAGATTTGCAATTAGTTGACCAGAAACATTTCGGAGATGTGGTCATTTTTGTCACAATTTTATTATCATTTGCGCTTCCAGATAAAAACTACGTCTCCAGAACCTTGGCAACATTGCTGGTAAGATAAGTCTTACACATCACGGTACCATAACAAAGAACAGCAACTTTCTATGAGGTCTCCACTAAGTATGTCACATAGAGACCAACCGCACAGAAATCACATGGAAGTATAATGTGTCATTATACTTCCATGTGATTTCTGTGCGGTTGGTCTCTACGTGACATACTTAGTGGAGACCTCATAGAAAGCGGCTCTGAGGAAGGCGAAATCCGCCGAAACGTCAGCTCATTCGTGAATAAAGAATAATAACACCTCGCGTTTGCTCAACAAAAATACGAAGAATTACTTGATCAATGCCGAGGTTAATAGAAAGTCGGTCGTGGGAGTTACAAAGAATAGCTTTTAGGAATAATAAGACGATCAGCCATTGCTGGCGCCGGATGGGACCATCGTGTGGGGAATATGTTAACATGATACTTTTTGACATGTTTCAAAACAGCCGACTCCCTGATGGAAGTTATCAAAGAAGAAAAAAACTAAAATGTAAAAGAATAATACTTACAAAATAGCCTTCGATTTGGGTTTCCCAGTTCTCCTCAAACGGATTCGTGTCATTGGTGATATACACAACCGTTTGTTGTCGCTGAGATAACCCTTGCCTAAATAGATCTTAAATTGCACCTTGATTAAATGCTAAGTATCACAAAAATGAAAAAAATCAACAAGTGATAAAACAACAACGATATAGGTTGCTAGTTAAGCCAGAAATGACCACCTTAATGGCATTAAGTTTCTTTCTCATGCGTCAATCAACCACTCTTCGAACAAAATTGAAACTACTACTTAAATAATTGAAAAGTAAACAGATGAATCACAATTCCAGTCGGAATTCCTTCTAAAGAATAAAAGCGGGCTTAAAAGAGGAAAACATGTTCCTAAAATAAAAAAGAGCTAGCTGAGTGAGAGGCGAAACGAAGGACCCGTATGGTGTGGTGGTGAACGCGTTACTCCCCGGAAGGGACAAGAGAGCTTTCGTTCCTTACCGCAGACATCCGCGGTCTGGAGTTTTGCAAATATCTCAGCATCATTGAAGTTATATTTCGCAAAATACCCCGCAGTAAAAAAAAAGAGTGGGCAGTAAATAATAAGTTAAAATTGTTCCTGGAAAGCTTTATGCGAGGACAGAGCAGTGTACTTTCCTACCAATACAAATTTAACTGATGTATCGAATCCAAGAACTAATTTTCCTGAAAAATACGTGTGACACAAGGTTTTCCAATTCTATCAATCCCGACTGAAACCAACGGGAACGATCTGGGGAGCACAAATCGGCAATAGACCCAGTTCAGCCGAGCCTGCAGTCTCATGTATAGTGAATACATTTCACATCATATCTTGCCATGAAAAAAATGACAGGCACTAAATGAAAAGTTAGACATTGAGATTTTGGCTAACGGGTGATTGCTGATGGCACCGCTAGCGTAGAAAACTTGCTGCGAGAAAGGCAAAGCAAGAGCTTAAGTGGTACAGTAGGTGGCGCGTGAGCACCCGGAAAAGGCGCTCGCCAGTTCGAATGTAACCTAGGGTTCAAGTATGGCAAATATCTCAGCGTCATAGTGGTTGTATTTCACATCGTATCCCGCCGTCCAGATATGGTGACTTTACTGTTGCTACTGTTGCTCGCAGGCGTTACTCGCTAGTGAGTGAAATTCTAAGTGATGAAACATAAAATGAAAAATAAATGGAGAATGCTTACTCAATGAAAATCTTTCTCGTATACCACAGAAGAGTCGACAAATCGCATTTGCAGTGACCACCAAAACGTTTGTCGAACGCAGACTTGATGTCCTCTGCAAAATTTAAGCTATGAATATAAATAAACTGTATTAAGTCGCTCCATTCCATAAACAACATAGATTTTTTCTCAAAAGAAGCATAGCGGATTCCGTACAACTCTACAAAGTTGAACCATTAGCAAACATTAAGGAGAGCGAACGGAGCCAGATAAGCATTAACCAATAAATCTTGTAAAATGAATATAAATGAACTGAATAAATAAACAATCTCGCGTTTGTTCATTATGAAAACAGTGCACTATCTAAGAAGTTAATCAATCTCACGAGGTAGGTCGCTCCATATATGAATTCCCTTAATCAGTGAAACACTAAGTCTCATTAGGGAACAAACTAAGAGGCTTAAAAAGAAGAAAACTGAAGCGAACAACTATGACATCAATGGATTAACCAATACGAGAAAACAAAACTCGGCACACTTTATTTACAACTCTGCATAACAACTATTTCTTTAAATCTGTTGACAGCACGTGGGGCCACGTGTAGCGCAGTCGTTAATGGCGCCCTGCAAAACACGATCCCGCGGATCAGGCTTACCAAGCTATCCATTCCTCTGGAGTCAGCAGATTGATACCAGACTTGTTTGGGAGGACAGCGGCACTGGCTCGATATGGTAGGTCCGCGCAAGTCATTGGGTAGGCCAGATATGCACGCATTCAATAACCTCCAACGAGGTTTAATGAAGCCGAATGCATGACATATCCCTCGGGGTCTTCGTCTTCGTCGAGAGCCTTATCCTTTATCCTTTATGTAACAGTAGTGAAGATAAAGTTGCTGTCAACATGAGCTTTGGAACGAGTACTAGTTTCTTTTCTGTGCGACTAGGATTAAATATTTATTGTAAGAGACATGTGGATACTATCACGTATTTCCTATGTTATTTGTATATTGTTGTTCAAAGTTGATTTCCCATCAATATCGGTGAGATAACTCATAAAAACTGGCCTATACTTTCACTTCGCGACTGGCTGGAAAGTACTCTTAATGCCTTTGTATGACAATAGCTGTAAAAGCATTCGCTAGGAAAAGATCACACCCACTGTAGCAATATCTTCCTTCAGATGGTACGTAGATGTCGTCGCCAATATGTGAAACCACTTTTTCATCTTCATCTTTTTTGGTCATATTTCAACTATCGCTATTCAGAATGAAGTGCAAGCATAAGAATGCTGAAATACGAGCAAAACTCGGAGCCAACGCTAGGCTTCGAATCCGGGGCTCACGTGCTATCCACCACAAACGCTGTTGTTGTTTCTTTCCGTCGACCAGTTTTTTACTATAAGGGTGCTGGCAGCAATTATTTCTAAACGAGAGTAATCTCAAGGGCACAAATTGGTTTGGCACCGTTGAAGTGAAAAACTAGCTAAGCGAAAGAGAAAGCACGGCCCTGTGTTGGTGTGATGAATAGCGCGTGAATCACTGAAAAAACTAATCACGGGTTCGAACTCAAACTGAGGTCCCGAAATCTGCTCATATTTCAATTGTGGTTGCATTTCATACAATACCCCGTCATGAGAGAATAGGCATGAAAAAAGTTAAACATTGCTATTCACAGTATTGTACTATGGTTGTATTTATATTGTTCTTTAACCCTCATATAGACGCTACACAATGTTGTCTTCGCTAACCCATTTTTGTTACATTGTTTATATAAAGGTTAACTATCTAAGTTTAAGTTCGAACTGCCACATCAAAAAGTGTCCCGATGCATGTCACAGCAAGACTAAGCGCTCTAATATACTAACCTACCGATATGGGAATATACCCTCAACTGGAAGATTCACCGTCTAACAAATAGATGAAAAGGTGGAGCGATCAAAAAACCAAACACCAAAGCCGCACCAACTGAAGTCCATTTATTTTTCCTTCTATTTAAAGAATATAATCGAAAATCCACCAATCAACATAACATACTAGAAAGTAGCATAAGCAATAGATCCGTTAACCTGCATGTACGCTTGAGCTCTGTAGTGAAAGCAATGAAGAAAACCCTAAGGATAAAGGAAAAATAGCAGTCTCTCGCAATCATATTCACCTTCTATATACTTCAAAAAGGTTGCATATTTCATTTTGAGGACTATTCCTCTCAGAATCCGACAAACCACCTCATTCCTGGGCAGGTGCAAAGCATTCTGACCCGTGAGGATCGGACTATATATGAAAAAATTCCCGCTAGTCATTCACTCGACTCGTCACATGTTGGTGGGAATGCATGGTTCCCGAAAGATGAGAAACCAGGAAAGATGTTTTCGTAAAGTAGAGATGAAACACACATTACGCCGATAACTATAGCGCATTAGGTTTTTCTTTTATTGACAGCATAACACGACATTGATATAAAACTTTATTCGGCTAACGTTTCGACGTCTTTGTCTTCCTCTGACCAGCGATGATTGGTGTCCAGTGCCCACAGTTGTTCACAATCGCGATGTAAGTCGTCATCGTCGCATCGAGTCGAATCCATGGAAAAGGAATTCCGCCATTAAGAATCTCACTTGGCAGAGTCCTTTTATATAGGACGATTGTTGATTTACTGTCCATTCACAGGAAATTATTTTCCTCCAGAAAATCTATCCGGTATTAGGTTAGCTTACATATAGTCAAGTAATATACTTGTAAATTGACTGGATTCAACTCGATACAACAACGAAGATCCACAGCGCAAGAACGAACGGCTGTGGACAATCGTCTCAAATCATCCCGACCCTGAACAAGGCGAAGGCTCTGAAATGTTAGCCGAACAAAGTTTTATATTAACCGCGCGTTAGTCTATCGATGAAAGAAAAATAGACACTGATCATGCGCCCGAGATTAACGAATGTCTGCTTAGAAAAATATCACATTCTGTCATCAACTCGCATACAGATCTTTGTCAGAGTTCTCCTCTAAGACCTCTAAAAATAATGAAACATCATATAAAAGAACTCTCAATGCCGAAGGAAGACAGAGTTCGATGCCCGAAACCATGCTAACAGTTGAAAGCCACGGTCGCTGCCCTATACACCGATGTGTAGGGAATAAGAGGTATTTTGTGCATCATGGAAGAAGCGTTTTGGGATGTAAACCTCTTATCAAAACGATCATCAATTCGATGATCAACAGGAGCAATATAGATAATTGCAACACCAAAGAACTGATGAAATAAAAACGGATGGGGAAAAAGGTTTTGCTGTTTTTCTGATGTGCACAATAAACGTTATAGATTAATATCAGAAAAGAGACCTTAACAATCTTTTCATCATAAATGTTTAACTCGATAAGAAACCTTAACGATCTTTCTATAAATTTTTGACCCAGTAGCTTACTTTATAAAGTGCTCTTAACTACCGTGTACTGAAAAGATGAATGCACACGCCAAGCGAAAAGCTCTTGATTACCCTCCTACAAATTTTTGGAAGAAAGTACCTAGAATACCTAAAGTACCTAAAGACCTCAACACTTTGAAATTTCCGTACGAATAGTAAGCGCGATGGCTTTTATTAACACGCGAGATCTAGTTTGCTTTGTTTTCTCTTCAATCTGCTTTCAATGTAGTCCTCAATAATTTTCCCTTGTCCAGGTATGACAGTGGCTTTGACTCTTCAGGAAGATTTTAATTATAAAATTTTTAAACTAGTTCTTGATACTAACCTTCGTCCAGGAACTCCTTCAAAGTACATACTCGTCGCTGATCCTCGCCCGATTCATGATCAGATCGAACTTTTAAGTCGAACCATTCCACACAATGCTTCACTGCACCGGGTAACCGTGTCTCAGACAAAGCCTAAACAATGCGGTTGTAAAGCTCACGGCCATTTGAAGTAGCACAGCATTTACCACGTATCTCACTCATGAGGATCTCGAGCCGGTTAGTTGCGGGGCTATGTGGTGCGTCCCCACGTGGCGGATAGGGGGTTAATCGCGGACCAAGAGCAACCTTAGCTTCTCTAAGACGCAGGTGGATCCAGGGGAAGGACACCCTGTTCCTGCTGCGCCGATTTGGCATATAGTGCGTTCTAGTTAACGCGGATTGCATTCTACGAGTCAATTCGGCCGAAAGCATGCAACCAAGTGACAGGGAAGTATATGGGAGTTATTTGAAGGAGTTGCCTCCAACACTCTCCATTTTGGGAGAGCCTGGTGAGCTACCCATGAGTACACCCAGCTTCCACGTTCAGAGCCCAACAAGCTATGCGTGGGTGTTAAAGAGCTCAAAACAGTAAAAGAAACGGGCCTCATTTCTCTGACCCCGAAACAGCCCCCAACTCAGCAGCGTTGGCAAGGACGAGCACAGAGAGACTGCTAGAATCTAAGGGGCAACAGAAGCTGCCTGGATCTCAAATAACTAAGGTGACGATATGTACTTACAATGCATGCACACTTGCACTCGGGCCCTCGATAAAAAACTTGATCATGCGAGGAAGAACGATAAAAAACGAAGTCATCGTTTTGGCCTAGACGAGACGATGCAACCCCTTCAACGCCGTCTATGACACCGGAGAAGAACTGTTCCTCGGAACATGCGACAGTAGATGAGTCGGTGGCGATGGCCTTCTCGTCGACACGAGTTTGTCCATGAACATTGATTCATTCGAACAGCTTAGAACCCGAATCGGACGTTTACGGTTAAAAATATGTGGATCAATACCGGCTTTGACAATCTTTGTCGTTCACGCGCCGACATCAAACTATGACGAAGAAGAAGTCGAAGCGTTCTATATGGACTTGGAGAAGTTCCACAGAGAAGACCATACATTCTTCAAGGTCATCATTGGAGATTTCAACGCCAAGATTAGACCAAGAAGAACGTCTGAAGAACGTCGCATTAGGACCCACGGATTGGAATGGAACGAACAAGGTGAGCGGCTTTCTGAGTTTATCATGGTGAGTGAGACCATCCATAGTAACTCGCAATTCCAGAGGCCCCACACTCAACGATGGACGTGGGAGTCTTCCAATGGAGGGTACCACAACGAAATAGATCACATCATAGCAAATAGAAGGTTTTGCCTAACCGATGTCGCTGCTGTCAAAAAATTCAACACATGATCAGCCGACCGCCTTCGTACTAGATCCTATTTCTCATGGAAAAGAGAAAAAGCCGCTAAATTCAAAAACCAAAGTCCCAAAACCACCATAGACTGGGACTTATTCAATTCATTGGTCGACTGCTGGGAAGATGCCGTTGTTGATAACATCGACGAGGAATCCGATCGCCTCATTCAACATCTTCATATTAGCGCTGTGAAAGCTAAGAGTTCGAAAGTCACCAAGAGACGTCTGTCTTCAGAAACACTCGAGCTGATACGCCAGCGTGGAATCGCACGAGCTGCAGCCAACCATGAACTAACGTCCGAACTTGCAAAACAACACAGACAGGTGATAAAAGATGATCTTAAAGAGAGGAGCAGTAGCAATGCTGCAAGCTGCAGAGGCTGTTAAAAGCATTCGCAAAACCCACCGAAGCTTCGCCAATTACAAGACCAAGATGATTGCACACCGACGCCCAGACAGACGGAACAGTTACAACGTCCAGAAAGGCAACGGAGAAAATCACTCACGAATCCTGTTCAGATCTCTTGGATAGCCACATCCAGCTTCCGTCGTATGAAACAGAAAAGGATGGATATATCGTACCACCTATTCTCCTTTCCGAAATCCGACATGCTGTTTCGTCGGTGAGAAATCGAACAGTACTAGATCCGAGCAGGATAAGATCTAAACACCTGAAGGACCTTCCACCAGTTCTCATAAACACACTGGCTATACTCTTCACACGTTACCTGACCGAATGCAAAATCCCTACTCAATGGGAGACCTGCCAGAGAGTGTTATTGCTCAAGTAGGGTGACCTACGCGATATCGGCAACTATCGCCCAAACTGCCTGCTGTCTGCCCTCTACAAACTTTTCACTCGAGTCATCTTAAACAGGACTGACAGAACACTAGACGAAGGACAGCCAAGTGAGCAAGCAGGGTTTCGAAGAGGATTTAGTTGAGATAGAAGTAGTCCTGGAAGCCCTTGATAGTCAAGAAGTCCCTACTCACTACATAAAGATTCTTTGTGAGCTGTACAAAAATTTCACAACCAAGGTATCACCATTCTACAACAATATTAACATTGACGTCAAAAGAGAAGTTAGGCAAGGCGATACTATCTCGCCAAAATTATTTACCGCCACCCAACAAAACGTCATGCGAATACTGGAATGGGATAATATGGAAGTGAAAATCGATGGTCGGAAGTTGCACGATCTTCGCCTTGCTGATGACATCGTCCTTATCACCCAAACATTACCAAATTACCCAAGCGAAATATATGCTTGCCGACTTTGATGGAGTCTGTAGAAAGATTGGTCTTCGACTAAATCTCACAAAAACGATGTTCATGAAGAATGGATTGGTTTCGTACGCCCCATTCACACTCAACAGAACGAATATCTCCGAATGCTCCACTTGTCTATCTAGGTCGGGAAATCAATATGGTGAACAGCCTAGCTCCACAACTGAGCAGAAGGGAATGAGCGGCTTGGGGAGCTTTTAAGAGCATCGAGCATGTAGCGAAGAGAACAAAGAACACCCGAATCCTTGCCCACCTTTTCGGACTCGAAAACTTGGTCGCTGCGTAAGCAGGATGAAAGATCACCCAGCGTTATCGAATGCGCAGTCGAAAGGACAATGTTAGGAGTATCCCGTTTCACACAAGTAAGGGATGGGATCTTAAGCTGCAACCTGCGTCAACGATCAAAAATCAAAGACGCCGTTCTATACACTAAAGAGTCGAAGATAAGATGGGCCAGACAGGTAAAGTGCATGAAACCGATGGACAAGAGCCGTTAGTGACTGGATTCCTCGGAATGTCAAACGTACTGCAGGAAGACCACCAACCCGATGGTCAGATTTCTTCACGAAGAGCGTAGAAGAAAGATGTGATGCTCGACGAATCCCTAGAGCGAGCAGAACCCACTGGGCCACTCTTGCATACGACAGGGAAAAATGGAAGATTTATTGGCGCCCGCTCGAGTCACTCGGTGATCAACGGGACTACAGGTGATACAGGTGATACAGCAGTTTATGCAAAAATCTCTGTGTACAGCACAACATTCTGTTGGGAATTCACTACTACTGCTACGAAAAGACTCGATTTTTCGAGGGCCGCACTTTCTGTTATTTTGATTTCTTAGCCCTACAATTCGAGAAAATTAAAAAGGGCAATCCATTTTCCGAAATCAGAAACGAAAGTGGGAATGTGAAAGTAACCGACCGCTCAAGGACGATGTAAAAGCCGAAGTATTCTTTTCGGTTTCGCTTATAAATCTCACAAATATCAAGTTCAAACGTATGCAAGAATAGCGCTAAAGAGTTAGACTGGCCAAAAAGCTAGTAAAACTATAGATGGCCGTCTTACATATAAGGACGGCATCAGTTCCATTGCGATAGTCAAATACAACTATGATCTCCTTTCTTGTCAACAAACACATACTTCTGCGTAATACATTCTGGATGTCACGAACGTAGACAGTAAACCTACTTACCGTATGTTTCGAATACTGTAATAAAAATGTCTAAGTAACTCAAAGAACAAATGCGTACCGTGTTAGCAATAAACAAGCCATAACGATGCGATCGCGAACCGGAACATCCGATCTTCAGTAGTTGAATGAACACCGCCTGAAAAAAGCTTCATAAGCAATGGTTTGAAAACCTCCTGCTTTCCAGGAACTGAACATCTTCAGTTTTAAAAGTTTTCGCTGTGTAATTACTCCGCGTCACTCTCCATCATCTCAGATCTGCAGTGAAGTTTTGGTTTCGGACATTTTTTGGTGTCGACTTGCAAGAAGTGATAGAAATCTTACCGCCTCGTTTCACATGTATAAACTACACCGTACCACCGTGTTCTAACACAAATTCGAACCTTCACTGCCCTCTTGAAATCACAGTCCACTCCATTTTCAAACATATTCGCTCCACCATCAATCCAAAATACCGTATACTGCAACAATTCAAATCTTATTATGTTATTACTAGTACGTCCAAACAAATCTTCAGAAGAGTTACTATGCATAATACCTTCTTGTTAGTTTCCGCACTAACATCGAGTTCCATTTCATCATTTTCATCGTCCACCATTTGAATATTAAGTTATGAACAATATGTCTGGAACAATTGAAACTGTTTACAGTAATACGATTCTAAAAAGTATCGAACTAATAAGGAAACATTCAGCGGAGTGTTATTTCCTAGCATGAAGAAGTTACACGATTGGTAAAATTCCACACTCACACAGACTTTGAATTGTAGAAAATCCACTTCAACCAAAGTCCTCATCGCCTAATCGCACTAAGCTTTTGCGAAATTTCAGCGGCGACTCCGACTCTGGTGAAACGGGAACGGCCGAAACAGCTTCTCTTAGCTCATTGAAGATTACTAAAACTCAGGGCATTGCGAAAATCACAGCGCTTAGAGATCCCGTGCATTTTTTTTATTTTACTTTACATGACACGTCATCACATTTTTTGTGCGGATCCCAGCACACTTTCACTTGATTCGTTTTCCTTTCCTGGCATTCATCCTTTTCGAAGGTCTCCCAACACTTCGTGTGGCTTCGGGTGCTGCTTGCGGATTTCGCCGTCTTTTTGAATGTCGTAGAATGTCAACCGGTTCGACTCTTTTTACGATCTTAGAGATAGTCTGGTTAAGATGTTCCCAAGTGTTTTAGAGAGGAGCATTTTAGCGAGGATCGAACTAGCGCCTTCGTTTCTTGAGCGACTGCAACATCAACAACTGCGCTATGCCCCTGTCTGCGCTACCTCCTCGTGCAACTATGCAGACATAATCGCTCGATCGTAACTAAGTAAGCCTCCCATCCTTCTAGCATCGGCAAATTGGTACCAAATTTGTCTGTGAAAAGCTCATTCCGATTCACCATGACCTGCCGGTGCCCTTGTGCGGAGGGCTTGAGAAAGCTCCTCTTAGTACTATTCCATAATTCTATGAAAACTCTTAGTCAGCACTCAAAAACATTTATGAAGAAGGTAAACCCATCAAATAGCAGCAAAAAGCCGAATACAAATTGGAGCACTTTCGTAGACGATGGATGCAAGACAGCGAACCCAATGAAAGCTGCTGAGGTCTGCATCATTTGCGAACTCGGACCACATAAATAGGATAAATGAATTGAACTCAGTAGCTTCAAAGAACCGGGTAAACAAGAATATCTCCAGTGTACTGCATTCCAACGCTTTGCGAAACATAATACGATTGACTAGAATTTAAAGCCGACTTCGTTATTTCATAAACAGACTTTCCGTTAACTTCGGCATAACTAATCGACATGCAGTCTTTCATAGGTAAGATAACACGAGGTTGACAAAAACGAAAAGGAAAACCTTATTCGTTTTTCTGAAGAAGAGGAGGACGACGAACCGTCAGCCGAAAAAAGTCCTTTATCGACCTGATGCTAGCTTACCAACGGAAGAATACCAATTTGGCTACCTTCTTAGCATCAGCGAATCTTGAAAAATTATCTACTCCTTAAGGTCAACTACGGTATTCGGTTGTAATACCGTGATCTACGTGATCAGTTTCCGTTAAACAAAAAATCAACTCTTCTTCCCAAAAACTATGCCGCCCGGAAATTGATTTTTCAAAATATCAAAAAAAGAACAATAAATCTCTTCTTTCCAACTACATCCATGTTCTATCAAGCTACGCCTTTTATAATGCCAAGCTCTTCAAATTTTACAGAACTCTTAAATCCCAGCGATTGATCAGGTGTAGGAATAAGAGTCAATAAAAAGCACTTCAAATGCACGAAGAGTATTTGGATACTTGGATGGCTTCACTGGTTGTGCGGATGGGCTCCAGTATAATTTCCATTTTTCGGAGTTTTGCTTGCTTAGCTGTTGTGTTTTCCTGGAGTCGCGTGGTAGGCGAATTCAAAGTCTGCCTCTGGTCGTTACAACCACAGGTAGTCTCAGACCCTGTGGATCAGAGGGAGGTTTGCCACCACGCAACTAGTTTGACACCAGGACGATGGTGGATCCAGGTATTGGTTTACTCTTACATGGGTGCTCAGATGAAAACGTCAAGATTCATGACAACCTTGGTAGACCCTGCTGGAGATAAACGTTTCGCTTTTCACCTCAGTCTAACATTCAGAACATCTTCCAGCCACGATGAGGCGGTGAACCGTTGAGAGAGAAGAAGAATACAAGATAAAATTTTTCATATCACTTATACTAGAGGATACCAAGATTATAAAGTATCATTCAAGATTACGTCAGCATCATACCCATTAACACAACGGCAACAAGATGGTTCCTTCATAAATCACTTTCTTTTCGACCATTTATTTTACCGCTTAGCAGTTTGTTCATATATTTTTTGCAATCACTTGAAGGTTATCTAACATAGGTGTTATGGCGAGCGTTGGTAGGGAGAAGCTGTACTCAGCCCTTGAAGATATACGAAAAAAACCTCTTTTGAATAATTTTTAGGCCGACACTTATCTAACGTCAGTAGTAATGGTCAGCCTCTCCACGGTTTACAGCCTCATCGTGGTTGGGAGGTTTTCCTGAATGTCAGGCTGCGATGTACAGTGGGGGATTCGTGAGCCCGACCAGAGCACACTTCCAAGCTGGGGAGTCCGACGTTTCTATGTGGAAGTCAGATAAGAGTAAACCAAAACCAGGATCCACCACCGTCCTCGTATCAAACTAATCGCATAGTGGTAAACCTCCCTCTGATCCACAAGTGCGGCGACTGCCTGGAGTGGTGACGACCTGGGGCAGACTTTGGCTAAGCTGACCTCGGGACTTCAAGGAACGACAGTAGTTAAACCAGCAAAACTCCGAAAAAGTGAAAATTGTGTTGGGGTCTGCACAACCAGTGAGGAAGGGCGATTCAAACGTCGTAGTAAACAAGTGATATCAATACCTTCTTGGAATGCTAAGCTAACATGCTGTAGAAAAGGAAATTTGTACGCCTAGCGTTTCGACCTCTCCGTCTTCATCAGAGACCGAAATTCGGATCATCGGCACTGATGAAGGCGAAGACGTTGAAACGTCAACCGAACAAATTTCTTTTCCACTGCATGTTAGCTTAACAGTCCAAGAAGGTATTTCTTTAAATGAGTTCAAAGCCCGATAACCTGATTGGCAAGTGATTTATTTAAATTCCAATCACTATGATAAACAATAGTTATCATATAAAATCAGCTCGTATGAAAAGTGCAGAAGTGAACTCTACATATGCTGTAAAGTGTTTCGAAATCTTGAGAGCAATGTACCACACCTAGTAAGTAGTAGCATACATACCATTTTTACCATAGGAGCGTTACAGCAAAGCCTTCTTTGTAATCCTGTCACGTTCTCAACACCTAAAGTTTTCACCATCTATTGTCGCAAAACGGGTAAAGCTAAGCCGCATTGTATGATGTGTTTGTACGGTAGTCTGAGTGGACGAAATGCATTGTAATCAGTGCAATTCATCTTCATGCTTATTCTTTCCAACAGGTTTTGCTACTTTTACCGGACTTTTTTATTCAGTCAATGTATGTCCAAAACAAATGTTACAAAAGAAAATTCACAAAAGAATACTTTCGAAGGGATTAATTTTACGGCGAAAAACTATTGATGAAGACGGTAAACACTGCTAAGATTCATCAAGTGAAGAGCTGTAAAAATTTCTAATTGAACACTGGATCTCGGAAGTCAGAGGCAGTTTCCGCTATGGTAAAACGACAAATCACCGAACAGATTTTTCACAGTGGATCGATGTTCATACGGTACGCGTTAAGGAGTGTAATTCTGTGCCTTCCTTCGCAAAGGTTACCAAACTCTATACCAACAAAAGTGCCCAAAACAGTGTGCTACTTTCCGGATTTGTGCACTCCACTTTAGTCCCTACTGATAAGCTCGATTAAAGGTTTCCTTCTGTATAACCTGTGTTGTCGGCAAAATGGAGGTTTGCTAGTAGCAATTAGAAATTCTCTCATGTCATAAAATGGGATGCAGCAAGGCGTCATGCAAAAGCAGGATTCGAACTCTAACAACAATATTTGAGCTGTGGTACAGCAATAGTCCCATCCTGGGATAGAGACCAACAAATCTCTCCACTTCGTCAACACTTCTTGGTAGATCTCCGTTAGAAAGGCAGATATTTCTCTACTCAACTATTGTGAAAACCGCTTTATCTTCGGTGAATTCAAAGCAAACTTAAAATAAAAACGACACTATATAAAGAAGTTCCCACTTTTGTTCCCAGTAATAAATCAGAATCCCTCTTACACCTATTTCAAGAGATCAACCTCATAAGATATCTAGTAAGTAAAAATTAAAAGTATAAAGGATAAAGCTCTCGCCGTTGATCAATCATTGAGGGACGCGCCATGCATTCGACTTCATTAAATATCGTTTGGAGGTGACTGAATGCATATCTGGTTTTTACGACGCGCGGTGGCCTACCGATGTATCGAGCCAGCGCTGCTATCGTCCCAGACAAGTCCGGTACCAATTTGCCGATCGCTGAGGGATGGAAAGCTTGGTAGGCTATGGGCGTGGAGATCGATTCCACATGCGTGTCACAGTAGCGTCTCCAGCCACTGCGCCACAAGTAAAAATTATAGCGAGATAATAGAAAGCCGTACAATCCATCATGCAAACATATACGGTTAATATTTTCACCAAAGAATTGTACTTACCACACTTCCGCTTCCAACTTTAATTATGGATTACTCTGATCGCATGGGGTGGACGTATACAAGGAACGCTAGTAGATCAAATATAGCTAGCAAAACATACGAAAGAATGACATATATTGCTTCGCTTCAATGGCTCAAAAGCTCTTCTATATGCCATATTCTCAACTTATCATGCCCTTCAGCTCACTTTTTGTGCGTCCACCATGAGACCATACGTCCTCCCAAACGGCAAATTTGAGTGTCGGGCTTTGTGTGTTAAGCTTGTCCAATTCAGAAAAAAAAATCCCAATAGAACCGATGTTAGCGAGTATAAAAAACAGAAGATGAGCATGCACCGAACGGCTTGCCGCCTCATCGTAGCCGTGAGGTTTTTCTTGGTACCGGCCTGCGACGTATGTTGCGAGCAGAGGATTCATCTCTTCAGAGGGTCTCGCAAGATGAGGACTCCTGCCTTTCCATCAAGAACCCCAGCTAAAAATAAACCAACACCAGGATCCACCATCGTCCTGGTACTAAACTAGTCGCGTGGCAACAAGTCTCCCTCTTACCCACACCGGCAGCGACTGCCTGTGGTGACGACAACCTGGAGCAGACCTGGACCAGGCCGTCCTCGAGACTCCAGGAAACCACAGTGGTTTCCGGGGAATGTAAATTATATTGGTTCCCGCATAACCAGTGAAGACGGGCCATCCAAGTATCCAAGAAGACGAAGTTTCACACAATATACGTTTAGCTATCCAGAGATAAAACAGCACTATAAGAGAAAAGAAGCGCTGGAATGAACAGCCACGTAATAAATCCACTCCTGAAGGAATGCTTTACCGAATCCACCCATTACTTTCAAACTGCCTCAACATCACACAACCAAACACAACTAGTTACAATCACAATGGTCGAAACACAGTGACGTAGAGCACATTTCAATCTCGTATAAGCAGTCAGAAAATAATGGTCTTTATAAAAAAAAAAAAGTACAAATACTTGTGGGCGTGACAAGTAGATACATGAAATGGAACTACTTCGTAAGGTTCTCGGATGCAAAAATAATCAGCCACCTACAAAAATTAGCCATATTTTTATAATATTACTGTCACCAAATTTAAGATTTACCCGCAATACGGCACATTCTCAAAATTTAAACAAAACTCTTACAAATTAAAGGATAATTCAAATAACAAATACCAAGTAGAGAAAAACAAGAGATTAGATGAAGAGATACTCAGGAAATACGAAAGCGTAACAACAGAACGGCTTGAAAAAGGACGGTGAAATCACACCAAAGTCTAGTCGATTTTAATCATCGGTGCAAAAATGAATGCGAGATCCACTTTACTGTAGGCATTGTTCTCCAAATATCGACCGACAATTGCAGATAATTTTGTGAATAGGTCCATGACAGAGGAATATCCAGCTTTCGTTTGAAGTATTCCTGAAATGTTACCGTAACAAATGGTCTTGGATGGAATAAATCATAACAAGGAAATATGAAAGCGCACTGGTAGCGATCTCGGTCATGACCCGACCTACCCAGGCACTCGTTCCACCTCTCTCCAGTCCGCCAAGCCTCTCATCCTTCTAGGGTCATGAAATTGGAACCAGACTTGTCTGCCACAAGCTCACAGACTTCAAAGCAAAAGAGAATACCCTAACCTGGCAACATCAGGGCCAAAGAAAGGATCAACTCGATCGGCATGAAACAACATTCGTGGCCAAGGTAACAGCCGCAGCGACATACAAAAAAAGTTAGCAGATCTTCGAGGATGGTGGATGGAGGCAACTAATAGGATGCAAAAAGTGCTAGGATCCGTGCAATGCGATACATGTGATATTGGGTCATGTAAAAATGAGTAAATAGAACACAATGAGACCAACGTTTCTGTTCCGATTTCAACTCCTTCATTGCTGAATGCACGTCCACGACTCGCTTCCAAAAAGTCTGTTGGTCAAACAGATCCTTGGCGGAATACTAAAACAGCCGATGTCATTCGTGTTCTATGTAGATAAACATCACATACATAAACAGACATACACAACAGAAAATAAATACTACTATCCTGACCTCTTTTCGTAGAACTCCGCCAGTGCACTTCGGACATTCCAGTCCTTCCCGACACCATTTGAACAAATGTGTTCTTGTGCGGAATTCACACATAGGATCATCACATCTATAACGAAAAAGGACAATTTTTAAATTTAATCCACAACCTAGTAACTATTTCACTCATTTACACAGACCTAAAAGGTGCCATCAAATGCTTAGCAACAAGTGATTCCAGAGCATCATCAATCCGATTGCAAATGTAAGTAGAATACGGCGCCAGCTCAATACCGCAATGATTGCACGCTTCCAGCGATAATCGTAGTGATGAATCCCAAAATTCAAGCATACAGAAAGATAAGTAGGAATTCATGAATGTAATAGTAGGAGTGTAAGAACGATATTGCACATCAGTTAGCACAATATCGCTAGATAATACCAACGTGGGAGAATTCGGGATGCGTGACATTCGTGATATGTTATATTGGAACAGAAACAAAGAACGGTGGTCACAAATAAATTCTTTTTATACTTTTCACACGACCCGGCTTTCACACCTATTCTGCTGATCTGAGCATTGAAAGCGTTTAACAAGTTTCCTCGCATACATCTTCAACTGAGGTACTCGAACTTTTTTGTACGTCTCCTTCAACTGCTGCCTGAGTATTGTCGTCTTCTACATGAATATCGCTGAATACTGGTTGAATCAATTTTCCCTGGAGTCCTGAAGTAGCCAACCGTGTTAGAGCGTGCCCATGTGGATTAGAGTTGGTTTGCACCGAACAATTATGGCACCAACTTCCCGAGTCAAGGTGGATGAGGGAATAGTCATCACTACTAAGGGGCTATCCGTCCCTATATTAGCAATATGTGTGAAATATAGCTATGCCATAGTCGACATGAATAACATGTATCTCACCTGTGTTTCGATAGGTGTTCTAACATTTATTAGATTTCTGCAGCTAGTTGAAGGGCATACAAATGAAAGTGGCTCGCAGTGATTATAAGTTATTGGATCTTGCCAAACCCATTCGTCTTCGACGGCCACCACATCGGAAGCATAGGCTGCAAATGAGCGACGATATGATGTCGAATCCATACCTGGAAACAACAAAAGAATTGAATCATAGAATGACGACCTAAATTGCTTTTCAAAGCATACGAATACTCATGAACAAAGGTTAACCATTCTAGACTACGATACCTAAAGCATCTGCGATGCGAACAGCATCTGTCTCTTCAATCGGAGCGCACAATCGTGAAACAACAGGGTGGACCTGTTGTGCAAGGTAGTACGACAGATCTAGAAAACAAGTTTATTGAATTTTACTTAATATTAGATTGAAAGTAAGAAGTCCCTTTAAACGCAAAAAAAACAAACTAGACTAGATATAGCCGTTCAATTCTAACAAATAACATAACACTTGTACATCAATTATTGTCGACTTACCAATCTTAAGATTAGAATTAGACTCTATTTCGGTGCGATGATATGCCCTTTGCATTGCCGAATTTATAGTACCATCCTAGAATAGTGCAATGCATGACTTGTATAAGCATAGCTCACTCTTCTACAGTTCTATTTAAATGAAGTCCTATTACAAAATATAAGAACTCCACATAGTTACAAAGTGGTATTCAACAAGCATCTCTAGCTAAGCAGAAAAACTGCTTCACAAACCTCACAAATAATATACTCCACAATGTCGCCCTGTCGCAGAGAAAACTTGCCGGTCTCATTGAGCCTCACTGCAACAGCAGCATGAGGTTGCGACTTGATATCATGGTAATCCTTAGGATTACGAGTCAGTTGCTACAAAGTAATTTTAACATGAACCATTTAAAAGGTGGACCAGCAGTTCTATGAATAAGGACACTGAAACGTACTTTACTAATTTCAAAAAGAACGGTTTCTACCCCATTGTCAAGCTTAGCTCGCAACTGCCGCAATGACTCATCGATTTCCGCAACAAGTTCATCTCGTGATAATCTCACATCCAGAATTAAATTCACCACTATACTAAACTACTAACAGTAAAAACGAAAAAATACGCAAGAAAAAAGTACGGTTAAATCTCACTTCCCCGCTTCCTTAGCCAACTGGGACCAATCTCTCCGTACAATATCTAACCCTTTCAATTCCTTCTTGATGTCAAGTTCATTATCCGGATTCACCATCAACGCCGCATATTTCTTCTTCTTCAACAGTAACATACGTTTAAAGACACCGTCAAGCTCCAATTCAAGTAGTCTGTGACATTGATTAACCATTCGCTTAATCTGAAAACACGGTGTTTCACTTTTGCCTCAGGGTTACATTCGGAAGGACAGATGAAAACGGAAAAAAATAACCTCAAGACCAAGTTTTTTTGCTTGTTTCAAATCAGTGCTGTTTGTATTAATCATGATTGAATCTGTGTCACCGTACACCACAAAATAACCAAACTTCTCCACAAGATCCTTCGTATGCATCAAGATCTGGAAGTATTTAGCACAACGTTGCAAGTCTGTTCAAAAAAATACAGTCAGTTCCCAGGATCGACTTTCTCTTAACCTCGGCATAGGAATATGAATGCGTCGCTTTCTTGTTGAGCAATCGCGAGGTTGTTATGCAGTATATACATTTACTTTCATAGAAAAACACAATACAATACAACAGTAGCTGATGATTCGGCAGTATCGCCTTCATCAGAGCCTGGAAGAGTATACTGATATACAATTTACTAGGTCAAACGCTTCAATAAAACTTACAAGAAAAAACAGAAAAACTCTATGGTAATTCCATGATCAACAGCTTCTCGAGAAACTCACAGCTTTTTTTTACATGACTTCCAATGAGGAAGATAATTACCATAGTTTTTCGTCCTTTTGTAAGTGTTATTGAAGCATTTGGCCAAGTAGATTGTATATCAGTATACCTTTCCAGGCTCCGAAGAAGGCGATACTGCCGAAACGTCAGCTACTGTTGTGTTGCATTGTGTTTTCTATGGAAGTAAATCCATGCTGCATAACAACCTCGAAATTGTTGAACAATAAAACGACGCAAAATACAATCATTTGGAAACTACTTGAATGCCTAGAAGTATTTAGGAATGATCGTCAATGATTGAATGTCAAACCTCTCTTCCTTTTGCTGTTATGAGTGCAGCAAGTGGTTTGGCATAGAATCGTGACTGTTGAAAACCCAGACATCCATACATGCTGTTGGCCGTTAGTTTCAAAGCCATTTGACGAATGTCGTACTACATTTCAAATGGTAAACTTCAAATGAAAGTCCACACATATTTGCTGCGAACAACCTGCTTCCTCTTTGCTTCCGGGGCCTCTTTCATCAGCTTTTTGACCTGTCTTCGTCTTTCGACAAGACCTCGAATCTCGCACGGTAAAATACCTTCAGCTAAATTGGACGAAGGAACATTTGGAAGCTCGTCACCGTCCTAAAATATTAAACTTCTCTAAAACTCATTTCCATAAGGAATTTATGTTTTAAACTTCTATTCTGAAAACGTTATGGTTGACATTGTATTAACTCATACTGACAGTTATTATATAAATCACACAGGATCAAATTTAAGATAGTTGGCCAACTGCATAAGTAATGATTTAGATAAAGCCACCGACCTTAGTATGAGGTATGGTAGTGAAGCAAATATTGTACTCTTGAATAATACTCGGATAAAGCGAATTGAAATCGAGAAGAAGGATAAGTGTGTCATACAGGCCTAAAACACGGTAGTTATTATAAAAATTCATTTTCTATTTGAAATCTCAGCGCTTCGGCCAGATGTAGCAATTCACACTAGCAAACAAGGAATTTTGGAACTTCTAAAGCTTCCCAAGAATGGGGATGCATGAACTATGGTCCTTATTTTATACCGTTATTACATTCAGGGGTGGATAGCACAGTGGTAGTGATGTCCATCATTCCGAGTATGGTGCTAGATCGATTCCGCTCCGGGCCAACTAAGCCTCCCATCCTCCGAGTCGGGAAATTGGAACCGGACTTGTTTGGGAAGAAAATCACTTTCCAATCCAATTGGGAACGCTCTAGTCTGGCTATCTCAAGACTCCAAGGAGAATCGACTTAACCAGCATTCTACTACATTCAAGATGAAATGGAAATCCTCAAGTGACAACCGAAGCCACGCGTAAATGTTGGAAGGCCTTCGTGGATGATGAATGCGAGGAAACGAAATGAATGTGGGAAGTGCTGAGATCCGCATGGTAGACGTGAAGACGGGTCAAATAAAATGTAAAAAAAGAAAAAAATTTATTACGATAAAGAAGTCTATTGTTAACTTAACTTTCTTGGGCTCTAGAACAAGACCACCGGAGTAATGTGCTTTCCCCTTTGTCTTCACATCTGCTTCCGTCTCTCCAGCATCTTCACAGCTCTCCTTCACTGATTCTTTTTCAAGCTGTCCTTAATTAAAAAGGCCACATAGGGTTAAGATCGGGTTTCGCGACAACTCAAAAGAGGAGACAAACCTTTCTTGAAACTAGCTATATATTTATTTGGTGCTACGTAGTTCGCTTTATTGAAGGCGTGCAGGAGTAGATATTCATTTCGCTCAGCCCGCCCACCCATTAAAGTTCGAGACTGAAGACATTAAAATATTGTTCGCAACTTTCCATCTCCTTATTCTTATCAGTTCCACACGTCGACAACAACTAATGAAATGGCCGCAAATTTTTTACCCTCAAAATTTCATGAAGTAAACGATGAAGCAAACTGCCATATGAATGTTCACACAATATTTTAGATAAGCGAAAACAATAATTTTAATAAAAACTGAACAAATCATAACCCATTCGCGACGACGCTAACTTTTGCTGTTCGCTAAAAGGAACAACGCCTCATGTTCAGCTTTTGCGGTCTTGCTGATTTTTTGACAACAAACATTAATTTCTCGATATTTTGAGGACTTGAGAACATGACAGCATTGGAGAAGAGGCTTTCGCCTACCACTGTGAAAGTGTGAATGGTACATATGTTACTATGGTCAGGGATCTCTTTCACTAAGGAATTCCCTACGTGGTACGGAGGCTATGTGACGCGTTCCCATGTGGTAATAAAAAACAAACCGAACGCGCACCGAAAACGACTTTCTGCTTCTAAGCGATACAGGGATCCAAAGGATGGGGTCCATGTTCCTGCTAGGTCAACCGTCATGCATTATTCTCTTTTATGTAAAGTTTATTCTACGAGCCAATGAAGCCAAAATCTGCAATCGAGTGACTGAAAAACACATGGGTGATAGGTAGAAGTAGTTTCCAACAAAGAAACCCTACATCTGCTCTGGAACAGATTGTGTTCAGAGCCTCAAAAATTTTCATGTGGGTACCAGAAGCTGTTCACAGTAAAACAGACAGGTATCATTCCACTGACACTTAACAACCACCGATACGGCAGCGCTGGGCTGCACGGTAGCTGTGGATGCGGGAAGGCTGAAAAAATTTAGAAGTACATTCTAAACTATCCAATTGTGGGAGGAATGAGGTCTGAAATGAAGCTGAGAGTTCGAAAGTCACCAAGAGACGTCTGTATCCAAAGACTCTCGGGCTGATAGGCCAGCGTGGAATCACATGAGCTGAAGGAAACCGCGAATAAACGTCTGAACTTGCAAAACAATGCAGACAGGCGATAAAAGAAGATCTTAAAGAGAGAAAAGTAGCAGTAATGGTCGATATTGCAGAGGCTGGGAAAAGCATTCGCAAAGCCCACTGAAGCTTCGCCAATTACAATACCAAAATGATCGCACTCCGACGTCCAAACGGAACAGTTACAGCGTCCAATGGAGAAAATCATTCACGAATACTACTCAGATCTCTTCGATAGCCACGTGCACCTTCCGCCATATGAAATAATGGAAGACGGAGATGTCATCCCAATAGTTGACCTTTTCTCCCTTCGGAAATTCGATATGTTATTTCCTCAGTGAAGAATCGAACAACGTAAGCTGCGAACAGGAGAAGATCTGAACATCTCTAAATCCTTCCGCCACACCTCACAGATACATTAGCTCGGCACTTCAAACGTTATCTGTCTGATGACAAGGTTCCTACTCAGCAGAAGATCAGCAAGACAGCACTATTGCTCAAGAAGGGTAACCTCCACGATACTGACAACTATCGCCCAATCTGCTTGTCATCCACAAATTCTTTCTCCAACAATAATAACACCGACGTCAAAGGGGGGTGTTAGCCAAGGCTATACCATCCCGCCAAAATCAGTTACTGTCAACCTCCAGAACGTCACGCGAACAAAGAAAAAGGCAAGATCAAAGTGATAAATTGATGGTATACAATGATAACGTCTCCGCAATGGTGATGATGACTCTTATGTGATCGAGAACCAGGTGGAAAGAACGCTACGCGACCTTGACAACCCTTAAGAATAGTTTTCCCCTAAATGTCGTAAAATCCACGTTAATGGAAAACGGAATTGTTTCGTAGGCCTAATCCACGCTCAATGGAATGAGTATTTCTGAATGCTGTTGTTACGTTTATCAAGTCAACATGGTAAATGACTAAGTTCTAGAGTGAAGAGGCGAGAAGCGAGCGGCTTGCGGTGTTTTAAAGACCATCGAGGATTTAGCGACGAACGCGAAGAACACGCGAGTCGGTGACTACCTTTTCGATCTCAAAATTCCTCCTGCCTTAACGTGCACGTCCGAATCTGGCCGCTACATTACCAAAACGAAAGACCACTCCCCGTTGTCGAACGCGCACTCAGCAGAACGATGCTAGAAGTATTTCGTATTACGCAAGTGAGAGAAAGGAAACCCAATTTCTGACCTACGTCGATGATCCAATACCAGAGATGGCAAAATATCGAAAACCAGGTAGACCGGCCATGTAATGCACCTGAAACAAAATCGATGGACAAAAGCCGTTAGCGACTAGATTCCTTGGCATGTCAAACGCACAGTAGGGAAACTGCTGACGCGATGGCTAGCGTTCTCCGCGAAAGATTAGATTCCAAATAACAGTTTACTGGTAGTCAAATTGCCGATCAATAAACTTGTTCTAGAAAATGTTTTTTGCATACTACCAGGCGAGGAATAAAGCTTTTCTCGGTTCGGCAGCCTACTAAAACATCTACATTGTACACGCTACCGACTGATTAAAAGCGCCCAGGAAAAAGGTTTTTGAACCCCTAAAAAAACTATAAAAAAGAAAACGCTAACTATAGCTCATATCTAGGACATGGATAACCATGGTCGGACAATACAGCACTTATGTTGTCGCGAATATGTTCAAACAGTAAGTGAATTAGCACCTTATGCAAACAAAAATACCAACCATAATGCCTCCAACAATATTTGTAATCTGAACTGCCAACGGAAGTGCGTTGAGATGTGAAACAACGCGTAGTGATAACCATGGGTCAACCCAGCTCCATTGGATCAAATTAAGCAACTGTTGGGACGAACTAAACTACGCACAAACCGTGTTACAAAGAACAAAAAGCACATTTACAAAATGGCTACCAAGGAAAATGAACAAGAAGAAACCACCTAAATTTCGCATTCATTTCATTCGCATAAAAATTCTCCCTCACTTCTCCAAGTAAGTTTGAGACAAGCTCGGAAAGATCGTAACTACGTGATCGCACCAATTCCATGGCAGATAACCTAAAGTGTTCTAGGCTCAAAGGAAAAAAAGAAACCAAAATAAATACTAATGACAGTTTCCAATCATTGACTTGCCTGGAATCAAGCAGCATTCTACCAGCCGTCAACTCCCATTGTCCACTCTTGCTATGTGCCACTTTTCCAACATTGATTGATCGTTTCAGTCTACTTGTTCTTGACCAATTGGCAACTTTAAGCTTATCCATACGTGATACTAGCATGGAAATCGATGCCGACAAATCATGTCCCTTAATTTCAAATACTTGCATAAACCTGGAATTAAGCCCAAACCGCCTATCTGACCAATGGCAATTCCTCAACGAAGCAACCAAAATTACGTCAAAAGAGGAAATCGCTTATACTAAGTATTAAGACTATCCTATTCACATACCACTAATACATCTGGTTCATATTTATGGATTTTCGCTAAGAACAAAGACAACAGAGCTTTCTCGTTTCCAGCAGTCAACACCACATCCGACCAACCACGTCGAGCCACCTGTTCCTTTATGTCAAATGGTAACGTCCCGCCAGATGGTCTTGTGACCACTGAAAACACCTCCCTTATTGCAACAATGCATGCATATCACAATGATAACTTACTGCACAACCGTTGAAGATCTTTCTGATTAGTGCTAGGATCGTTCAAATTGCAAGTGGAATTGTAAAGCGTTGATATCATGCAGATCTACAACTGACCACGCTCTTGAACAAATACCACAGAAAAAATTAGAGAAAGAGAAGGAGAAAAACGAAAAGTTAAAAGAAAAATACTCCTACATAATTTGTGCATCCACCCTGTAGGAATACCAGAGTTCCACTTTTACATGGATGAAGCATTACGTAAAGTACTCGTGCGAAAAATTAATCTCTAGCTATTAACCAACCCAAGTCACCTCCAAAGGCAAAATCCAGGTTTAATGCTTGAACAACCATGTTATTCAAACAGCGAAACTGAGACCAATTTAATCCGTCCCTGAGTTTTCTCAAAAAAAGATAAAAATATGCAAAAAATAAAGTACATGTAAACTAGACAGGAAATCCCTCTACACTTAATCCCTAATGTAATATGTACTATCTAGCCAATGAGGAAAACGTTTAAACAGTTGGAAATGGAAGAAAATGAACATGAAAGCAAATCGCTTTCAAGATAAAAAATCCCTGAACCATCGGCTCCTGCAAAAATATACTGATATCGAATGGCAGTGACAAGACGGAATTCCACGCGCGTGTAAGTCGAACAGATATAAAATTTTGACAATAAATAGAACGATAGAAAGCAAAAGTAAGAATGATAGCAACCTCATTCTCCTTTTTGTCGTTGAGTGTTGTAAGCACATTTATAACGAGCATGCGAACAGGTGGGACGGCTTGAGTCACCGACGTGTTATAATGAATATTTCGCATACGTTCCATGTCCACACTGAACTCATAGTCGCAATACGATTGGCGCGACGTCACTTCCACTTAAGATAAGTTCTATATGATAAGTCCATAAAAGAATACCCCAGTTGACATGAACTTAACACACACTACATCACCACTTCTTTAATAAGTGCCGATAATTTTACAATAACCATCAACTTGACTAATTCATAATTTAACAACTTTAAAAATTTACGAAATGAGAAGTTGATACTCTTATAAAAGAAGATATACCCCACAATTATAATGTTATAAGCCATCTTTTTTAAGATTTCCTTCTAATTAACCCGTTTAAAGATCTGATTTCCAGAAAAAGTAAATCTATCCTTTCTTTTCGAGACTTTTAACGAATGCCAAAAAGATATTGCACGACATCCTGCTCGTGCTGCTCTATGAAATCCCAACTAATCAATTGCCTTCTTATCCAGAAAGAAAGGAATCATGCAGAAAAGTTTCATAGGATCAAAAAAAAAAACAAATTTTTATCGTCGCAGAATAAAAAAAATTAGATGTTCTGAACAACTCGGGAAATCCGATTGCTTCTATTAAGTTAACACAGTCCACTGTTAGCCAAAATGCTTTGGTTCGAAGATGCGAAGCGCAACTGCTTTCCAGTAAAAATGCATACAAATCAACGAATGTCGATGATTATGAGTTAATATAAATTCGATGACATTCTAATACATGGCCATAATATAGTCAACTTCATAACCACACAATGTATAACACATCTGAAATGATCAAAGACCTTAGCATCCACATACTATAGCGTCTGAACATGAATCACAGTAGAACGCTCACTAGAACAAAAGAACATACCATAATTCGTTATGTCAATCCAGCCTGGACCCATCATCGCTTTCTCCACCAACAACCTCTCTAATGATGTCGTTGTGGTGTTGAAAACAGCTGAGAACGTTTCTCCCGAAAGATCGGTAGATAACTTAGGATAACTACTCTAAACAAAAAATGTGCAATGAATAGCATTACATTGACATAAAAGTGTTCAATTAAATACAAGAACATTTTAGACGTTTCCAAATACATTTTTGAAAAGATCGAACCTCATACTGCACTTCTAGGACACTAACTTCTTCGCTAAGTTCGTCACCAGTAATAGTTCCGTCACAAATGAATCTCCTCTTAGCTTGCTAAATACATGGGCTGCGGTGCTCGACAACTTTGTTCTTGTGTGAAAAAAGCAAAACATAGCGTAAACCACACTCTGCATTTAAAAGAAGTAGTTCCACAATGGCGTCTTAAGACCGACTTCACTTCTTCATAAACGTCTTCGTCCTTCACATGTTCGTTAGTTCCCTTCCCTCTCACGAATCTCTAGGAAATAAATTATTACGTTGAACCTTAGGCACTCTAATCTCGTCTTTTACGCATAGTAAAGTTGGTGTCCGGGTATCTAAGACAACAGCAGGTGAAAATCCACGAGATTGAAAGTTGCACCCAGATTCATATAATCGCTTCTAAATGATGTTGCGGCAGGTACCTGAGAACCATGACAAGAGCCATGCTCTCGTATACAGCCGCGAACAAAGAGCGTAAGTATTTTTAAAAGAGACGAAAACTCTGCTTTATAAAAGTACATACATAAACAAAAAAACCTTTGATGGTTAATTACATCTTGCACTAAAAAATGTACTAAACAAGGGTAGTATAAACCCTCTAAACAATAGCATTCGAGCAGCGACTAACCAAACACTGTCGAAATTAAGACAAGATATCATTGTGAAGCAAAAATGAACAACGTACCGTATTCCTTGGTAAAAAGTATACTTGACGGTAGATATTTTTCACTGTTAGACAACAGCTCGCCCACTTGTCTCCACGGATATTTACACGACCAAAAAGGTAAACAGTACCTACAAAATAATTTTTCTATGAACAGTGCCTATAAAATCGCATTACCAATGGAAATAGTATTAGAAGTAAATCCCATATCACTTGTACGAAGCCGATTAACACCATAAACATACCGCTGTGCTTCACTGGATCCTCGAATGCATCTAACCAGTACATCCGGATCATCTGTTTCCCACCGTCCTTCATATAGAATTCTTCAGCACCTGCGACCTCTACAGTTTGTTCATCAACCCTATAAAAGACTTCATGCTTCCGTCGTTCCACTCGCCCTAAAAAACTATTAACCAACGCTGCCACGCCTTTGTCCCAAGCAGCTGTTGATAACATGAAATTTGAAACGTTTTCCTCTGAAGATTCAATGCTTTCCTTGAGAACGTTACCTTTACGAAGGTTTTCGACCTGAAACACTGCGTTTAACAAATTGCAAAAAATCATATCTGAAGTCATGCATGCATCTCCTCACTTGCGCAGTATTCTCAACTTTAGCGACTTCCTCAAACTCGCAGAATTTGTTTCTACGTGAAACTGAAGTAGGTGAGCTTTCAAACATCTGAGGCTCACTGTATTCACTAAAATTAGCTGTCCCACACTCCTCGTCGTCGTTCTCCTGGAAACAACAGTGCACCTCAAATAGTTGCAAAATACACCTTACTTACTTGAAATCACATTTTTGTTAGAAACGTCTATGGAAAAATATGGCTGCAACCCTTCCAACTAAGATTTTTCGAAAAGCAACAAAACACAAAGAATGTTTTGAGATGCATTTTTGTACAGAGCATCGTTAATGTGGGCGGCTGCTCACTTAATGAGAAACTTTTCCTAAATTTTCAATTCTATTGATTTATTTTACGTAGCCCGTATTCACACCTACAACGAAGATTCCAGTAACTTTTGAATTCGATTTATTACCGCTTATCCATCACCCACAAAGGTCTCTGAACATCTGCATTTGAATTCTGCAGCTATTTGAAGATTTTCGTCATGCTTACAAATGTCTGGATAAATACTGGTTGAGTTGATTGTATTCAGAGCCCTGGAATTGCCATGCTGAAGCGTTCCCACTTCGAAGTAAGTAGGGGTAAGACGATCACTGATAAGTCTGGTACTAATTTCCTGTCTCACCAGTGATATAACGCTTGGTCAGACAGGAGTGCGATCAACCAGCACCATACTCATGATATAGCCTCACAACCATTGCGTACTAACCCGATTCGTGCTAACACTTTCCATGCTAATTTGAAAAATTAACCAAAACACATACTGGAAAATCATACACAACCTTAAAGTTGCAGCGCGAAGCACCTTTATAAGTTTTTTAAGCGTCGAAGAGTTTTATTTGCCAAAAAGCGCATAACATAATGGATATATGGATCCATAACAGTACAACAGTGACACTATATAAACGACAAAGACTATTGAAAGTGTGCTGATGGCAGAAACTCACTGTTGCCACTTGAACTCCAGTACCGACGGCTTCCACGAGGGTATTATTCGGAGCCACATGACAGTGTTGACTCAAACTACTTCGCTGTGGCGACATCGTCAGTTTCATCAATTTGATGTTTCGTGGAGTGATTTCCGGAGATGCTAAACAACCTTAATTACAGATCTATTTCTGGATGTGCCACATTTTGTGATTTAGTGTTTCTCAGGTGATAAAGTAAAAAGATGAAGCTCTCGGTGTTGACCAATTCCTGAGAGATGCGCCATGCATTCGACTTCATTAAGCATCGTTTGGGGGTGACTGAATGCTTATCTGACTTTTACAATAACTCGAGGCGGCTTGTTTGTATTGAGCTAGTGCTGCTATCCTCCCAGACAAGTCTGGTACCAACTTGCCGACCTCGGAGGGATGTAAGGCTTGGTGGGCCAAGGGTGCGAGGATCGATCGCACGTGTTTGGCAGGGCGCCTCCGACCACTTCGTCTCATGCGCACTCTTAGGTGATAATGGTGGATAAAACGTCGACAGACCATAATTATTTATATCATAACGCAAATCTCACTGATGAACTCTTACCCTCTCTTTTAAAAGGATTTCTAGCACAAAAATTTGTAAAACCAGTGCTCAGTTGAGCAGAACAACCCGTCTCCAAAGGTTCCTCGTTTAATCCAGCTAACATATTCTTAAGGTCTTCGTCATCATCGAGTTTTACCTGGGCCTTAAAATAACGCATCATCACATCAAAATAGATCTCAAAGCACACTTCTTCTATGGGTGAGAGTTCTCATATTAAAAAATATGAGTAAAATTCTGAAACAAAACGGACGAAAGAAGGAAAAAAACATGCTAATCTAAACGCTTACATCGTCTTTTATGCTCCCACGAATCTGAGATACCGGAGCAAAATATTTGCCGAGACCCTTTTTCTTACTTAGATCTGTAAAATAAGTACATTAACGTTTATAAGGGAACACTTTGCCGTATGCTGATCAGTTCCGCAAATAAGACTTTTCTGCTCAAAATGTAGCCTTCTAAACGAACCTTTACCACCCTTTTTTCTTCTTTTGCTATTTCTATCCACATCCTGCTCATCATCGTTTTCGCCATCCTCATCATCGAATATGTCTGCACCATGATCAACATAACCGCTACCATCTGCAGACAGAACCTAACTGACTTCAGTAATATGCATCCTTACGAAACATCCGAAGAAAATGATAACAGAACAAGGACTAGTAGGTAGTAGCATGTAGAAATTAATTTAGGTGAAAAAAAAGTGGGAACCACCATCATCGACGACAAAATCTGCTTCCTGACGTTTTCGGACTATCTCGTTGTACTCGTCTTCGTCAACTTCCTCATACACATTGCTAATAAGGCTGTCCAGCTGAAATGCATTTATCATAAATACATGATGAATTTAGCACATTGTAGACGAGAACGGCGCGCGTAGCGCAGTGGTCTGCAGCGTCGTGCAATAAACATGGGATCGATTGCGCACCCGAGACCCACCAAGTTTTGCATCCGTCCAAGGTGAGCAAGTTGCTAAACTTGTCTGGGAGGATAGTAGCACATCGGTAGGCCAAAGCGAGTCATTATAAGGGCTAGATATGTATTCAGCCAGCTTTAACTATGCTTAATGAAGTAGATGCATGGCGCATCCCTCAGGGATTGTCAAAAGCGAGAGCTTTATCCTTTTTAGCATATTATTGACAACAAACATTGATAAATATGTATGCGATCATAAAAATTATAGCGCCTTTCAAATCCGAGCAAACAAATTTTGGCTTACATTGATCTCGACGGGTTAGAACAGAAGTTACCAGAAGCTACATTTCTGTCTAAAGGATGTAAATTCTCGTTCTTCCCACAACGACAAAATTATAATTTTTTGAAGCCTATAAAATGTACTTATTCGTTGTCTTTTTTTTTTGTTAACACGCTATTTTCAACAATGGATCGATTAAACGATCTCGCTTTCACATACCGGGACTCAATAGCGTGCGTCCATATACCACTGTTGTTTGCTGCTACCATTTTAGCGTCAGAAATTTTAAAGATCCAGATTCCTTTCTCAAGTTCTTACCAACTTCACCTTCGCGCCAATCCAAAATTAAAATGCTGCAAAAAAATATTTGTGGGTTTCAATTGACACTTCAAGTCCTCCTCCATAAGCCTCTCGTCCTTAAATTGTCGTAGACTCCAGTTATCGAGAAATCATCGCCGACAGCCAATAAACTATTCTCGTCGCAAATTTGTCGAATATATTATTTCTTTACAATGACGAGTCGCGATACCAGCGCTTTTGTACTGCTCTAAAATGTCGCAATAAGCACTCTTCGTAATATTTCCGATCCACCACATACAACAAAGTTCTCGATAAAAAGGTCACAGTATAATACCAATTACTTCGATTATTATATAGCTAAATTTCATTAGACCGAAAGTATGTTTTCTCATAGGGAGCACGTGTAGCGCAATGACCGGAGGCGCCCCGCAATACGCATAGGATCGATCCCGGCGACCTGGCTCACCAAACCATCCATCCCTCCTGGGTCGACAAATTGATACCAGGCTTGTCTAGGAAGATAGCAGCACTGGCTCGATACATCGGTAGGCTGCCGCGAGTCATTGTAAAGCCAGACACGCATTCAATCACCTCCAACGGTGAAGATGCTTAATGAAGTCGTATGCATAGCGCAACCCTCAGCGATTGATCAATGTCGAAAGCTTTATCTTTTGTTCTTAATCTATCTTATATTCCACACTTACATTCTACCTAGGCGGGTTTTTACCGCTTTTAATTTAGAATATCCAGGTGGTTAGGTATGAGAAATGGATGTTGTCTGGAACCCTTTCCTGCTCTTCGTGTCTGCGATTTCTCACTACGTTCCTAGTGCTACTGACCTCGAATTTTTGAGGGAATTTTCTGGGATGAACGATTTTCAGGTGTGAATTTTAAACAAGAAATTTCAAATATGTCGCAAACACTATTCAGCGAAAGAAAACCAGTAGGGCAGCTACTGCTAGGAATGTCACTACTGCATCCGTTTGAAACTTGGCTAAGAACACACTACGCAGCACTCAACGAAGTAATTTATATCCTAACCAATATAGTGTGAGTAATGTGTAAGACCGAAAAAATAACAGTAGTAGGAAACCAGTGAGAATCAATAAATAAGAAGGTTCCGGACAACTTATAAATGCAAAAAACAACAAAAAAAAAAACCAGTTTTAGTCAGAATCACTTTTGAAAAACCCGAACTCCCATACCTACCAACCTCATAAGTGCCGCTAACTAGGTTTCTGTAGAATACTATGGTGTTTTCTAAAATCCACCTTGAAAAATTCCAGAACAAAACTACTAAAGAGAAAGAAAAGGAATACGGTAAGGAAGTAAAGTTAGTGGTTGTTACCAACTTCCCATTGGTGGAATTAGCGGAACAAACCGTTTTGCTATTAACCAAACTTCATGTGTGCACCTGTTTCCATTTCAAAGTAAACAGTAACTTTCGATGTTGATTGTTCTCTTCAACTCTCAACTATGACAACCACCTAAGTAGAATAGAAAACAATCAGCAAATGTCCCAGCATTTCATTGACTGGCTCACCATGAAACACATCTTCAAGGATAAAAGGATAGTCTCGGCGTTGGTCTATCCCTGAGGAAGGTGGCTTGCATTCGACCTCATTAAGCATTGTCGGAGGTGACTACATGCATATCTGGCCTTTACAATGACTCGCGGTGGCCTAGTGATGTATCAAGGCGGTGCTGCTATCGTCCCAGACAAGATTGGTCCTAATTTGCCGACACCGGATGGATGGAGGGGCCTAGAGGGCGAGGATCGATTCCAAGTACACCGCAGGGCTCCGCCAACCACTGCGCTAAACGCGCTCGCATTCCCAAGTATAAAGTCGAAAAACTGAAAGCTGAATAATCGTCAACTCACATCGACCCTGTGACATTTCCCTTGTCGTCGAGCTTCCTTCATGGCCTCAAGGGCATTCCGTCTGCTCTGTACACGAGCGCTCTCCCGACGACGAGATGAACGACGACATTCCACTTCCTTCTCATCATCCGACATGGCCTACAAACAGATCACGTTCTCTCGAGGTGAATTTATTACTCCATATAGCAGCAAGAAGAACGCTAATCAAAAAGAAATCGTACCTAATAATTAACACTATGCCACTAGACTTGATTTTCTTGCCTACAATTCAGTGTTTACAAGTTTTTCTCCTTCTTTTAAAAAGAAGTCAACTCTTCCGTTAACCCAAAAGCCCAGTAGATTTTCTTCAGTTACAATTCTCACTTCACTGGAACTTGCGACTCCTCCCAACGGTTTACCGCCTCATCGTGGCTGGGAGGTGGTATCGGACTGCGATGTACAGCAGGGGATTCATCCTCTGGCAGGGTATCCAAGCTGAGGAGTCCGGCGCTCCCATCAGGAAGCCTAGCTAAGAGTAAACCAATACCAGGATACACCACCGTCCTGGTATTAAAGTCGTATGGTGGTAAATCTCCCTCTGATCCACAAGGGCTGCGACTGCTTGTGGTGGTGAAGTCGTGGGGCACACTTTGGCCAGGTTGACCTCGGGACTCCAGGGGACCATAATGGCTTAACCAGCAAATCTCCGAAAAGTGGAGATTATGCTAGGGCCTGCACAACCAGTGAGGACGGGCCATTCAAGCATCAAGTAAGTAATTTACGACTAGATTGGGTGTCCGAATTCCGCCGTCTAATTCTGCAACATGCATCCATTGAATTGGTTTAACCTACTTTTAAGTTGCAACACAAAATTTGTCCTAACAATCTCTCGAACATGTCAGGTCCAAGAGTGGCATGCTAGTACAAAGCCTAGTGAGGTACTCATTATAGGAAGTTAGCGTCCCCATAAACTAGTTAGATAAGTGAAAATGACAGAACAACATCGCCAATGAAGAAAGAATGTATAGCAATAACAGAAGCATCTTACGAACAGCGAGATAAAGTTGGACCAAAAACGACAACGCGCGAAAAACTCAAAGTTTCGCGCGCAAACGAATTATTGATGGCAATGTACCGCAATAGTGGAAAGCGTGAAAAACTACCGTAACGGAAAATTGGGAGATTTTGGAGGCTCTTAGCAAATGGGACATCGTAGAAGCTTTTCATTGATTTACTTCTTAAATTTCTGAACTTCTATATTCGAGAATACTAAGGTTTTATCAGAATTCTTTAAAGGAACGCTCCAATAAAACGGCTATAATGCCGCAACACTATGGCAGAGCTGGAAGCGATGATGGACGTGCTGGACCACCTCAAAATCGGTGTCTGTGGAGTCGAAATCTCATCGGTTTCTGGTAAGTCTTGATGACTTCGATGAGGATGGCTTTTATAGTATTTTTGACTTTTTCCTTTACTCGGTGTCTTGTTTCGCTATTGTAGTCGATTCGATTAACGTGTCTTGTTTGTTAAGGTTCGTTTCTAACTTAACATTTAACATAACTGTTAAGGGTTTTGGGACTTTGTAACAATTTCGCCTATGTTGTGATGCTTAGCGCGGCGAAGGACATCTTAGAATCGGATAGTGGGAGCAGAACTCACAATGTGACCCATACATGTCGAGTAAGTTACTCAGATATCTCGATGATATGTTACCGTTACAAATAGATTTAACAGTGTTGTCGGCTGGTAATATGCTTTAATACTTTAAAGCTGACATTCCTTTAGCTTCGATGTTAGTAATGAACATGTCTTCGCTCATTCATAAGCTTAGCCGAGATTGTTAAACAGTTTTATTCGGCTAACGTTTCGACGTCTTCGTCTTCATCAGAGCCAATGATCCGAGTCGATGATTCGCATCGTCGTATCTTTCATTCTCTGGTGAAGGAGAAGATGTCGAAACGTCAGCCCAACAAAGCTGTTTATCGGCCTCGTATAAGCTTACGAGTGGAAGAATACTCTTTAAGTTTGTCTGCGTCTTATGACTTGATACTCGCTTTATTCGCTTATTTTAACAATGAATCGTGTTGGTCCCTACACACTTTCAAGCTACTCAGATGGTACCAGTTTTGCAATGTCTAATCCTTTACAATCCCGTGAAAACATTTGTTAATACATTCCTGATTCTTTCTCGCATAAAATTTTAAGCCATTGTTAGTCGAGTGGAGCTCTTGCACCTACAACCAAATTCCTTTTAGAGCCATAGTGATTCCTGGCATTAGCTTACTTGCAGCTGGCTTACGGGCAAAAATGTCGAGCTTCTTTTCGAACTGAGTCGTCCCGCTGCGGCGCTGACACCTGCATTGCGCATATCGCCCTCGACATCCACGAATACACCCCATCCACAGCGAGACGCTAGACCACATTGGTGGAAAATGTTGACAATCCATTAGAAAAAAGGTGTTTCTTGATCTCCATTCAAGCATGTATGTCATTTATCATAGAGATAACCTTGTAGTAGTTAGACACCAATGTTATGATGTTTAGGAGGAAATTGTAGATCGACATTGTCAAAAGTTATCGACTGGTGCAGTTCTGTTGGCGGATATCGTTCCTGCTCTTGTGGTTAAAGTAACAGCACCTCTCTATATACATACAGTTCCATTTGGGTGCGTTATATCCATCGTATTTAGCCGTTTTGTTCCCATCTTTTCTAAGAAAGGGCTTATTGACGAAAAACTTTCTAAAGAATTTAAGGGAAATATGCTGCATTTTATTCTTTTTGTGCTATTTCTCAAAGCTTTTCGACCACATTCTGAAGGAATTCTGACCTTGGTTGTTTGCTGTTGTTGGTTTGCTTAAATTGTCGCTTTTGTAAGTTACACAGTACTAACAAATCAACAAGCTTTCTCATCACAGGCTACGGCATGTAATCGTTGTGATGGCACAAATGTTGAGCTTTATTCTTGTTGCTATCAGCAGTAATGTATCGCTATCCCTTCTAGGTAAAGCTCTTGTATTTCACCGAAGATTCCTGCTACATTTAATTTCAATGTACTGTAGGTGTTGTCATCACGAGCTTGGGATCTGGTTTAGGAGAAGTTTCATATTTGGCTCTAGCTTCGTATTTCGATGCGTAAGTTGTGTTGTTTCTGTTTCTGAAATGTTTGAAAACGAGTTGAATTCTCTTGCCATCGGTTTCAATTCAAATATACTTCCTTGGAGACTGGGATGATCCGTCTTCACTGGTTGTGCAGGCCCGATGATAATTTCCACTTTTCGTAATTTTGATGGTTTGACTACTGCGTCTCCCTGAAGTCTCGAGGTCAGCCTAACCAAAATTTGTCCCAGGTCGCACCACCAGAGGCAATTGCCGCCCGTGCGGATCAGATGGAGATTTGCTACCATGCGATTAGTTTGACACCAGGACGGTAGTGGATCCTGGTATTGCTTTACTCTTAGCTGGGCTTCCTGATGAAAACGGCAGACTCCTCAACTTCGGAGATCAGGCTAGGTGGATAAATCCTCCCGCTGTACATCGCATCCGGAAACCCAGGAGCACCTCCCAGCCACGACGAGGCGGTGAACCCTTGGGAGGAATTCGAGTATATTGTACTGCCTCAATTAACAAACATTAACGCAACAAATGAGTTCTTTCTTCAGTTTCTAAGCATTTAGGCGAGTAATATCAATGTGGTCGTCAGGCACTGGTGGTGCAGGTATCATTGGTGCCATGGCTTATGCGATACTCACTGACCGATTAATGTTGCACTTCTCACCTCGTGCCACATTATGTGGCATGTTAGTCGTACCATTGATGTTCGCCTATACGTATGTTTTTGTCGTTATTATAAAGTAACTGTTCTTAACTTTCTGTTTCTATACTTAATTTAAACTTTTCTTCGGTCCAGTGGAAGGATATTTGCTTTCAGAAACTTTGTCAAAGATATTTCTTATTTCAGTTTTTGGTGCATTCTAGAGCTACCTAGTTCGATTCACAGAGTCAATGTTTGTGATCGAAAAACTTATTTTGTACCTATAAGACGCGGTAAGCCTAAGAAATACTTTGATCATCAGTGATAATCCAAGATTATTTTTGCTTTATTTATGAAATTACATCACCAATTGTCATCAAGTTTTATAATTATTTATCACGTTCATCTGATTTCACTGTTAAAGATTTAGAAGTATTTAAGATCGTGACTCTCACGAACGACGAATATCAAGTCCATCGGACTCGTACATTGAGAGACCACTTCTGGATGAAGATAACGAAGATGACGGTAGTTATAGAATGATACTAAATTTTGGTAATAGCGGAACGAATGCCATAAAAATTTTCTGGACAAAAAATTTGTTGTGATTCTATGAAGAAGGATGAGAGCGTTTCTCTGTTATCACATGTTGTTCGTTTTTGAATTTCATCGTTTGGAGTTTTCTGAAAATTTAGGCCATTTCACTACCCGATACCAACGCAGTCTATCATTGCGGCAAAAATTTCGAACGGTCGTCCCATTGTTGAAGTATATGTTGCCATTGGTCATTGTCTACTTTTCTGAATATTTTGTTAACCAGGGATTGGTGGGTCTTACACTGCTTGAATATAGTAGTTTCTGTATTTTTGAGCTCAATTTGCACTGCCAGGGTCGAGTTCAGATGTTCTAAGTGAAAAGTATATGTCCGATTTTCTTCACCTTGTGTTTGATAATTTCTGACACTTCCGTTCTTTTATATGATCCTACTGAGTTTCCACTGTGGACCTAGAACCATATTACTTTAGGTAGAGATGATTTAGGTAGAGATGAGGTGCTTTATTTATTAAACAGTGTGTAATGTTGTATTACAGCTTGAATTAATGGAGTTCAATTGTTCTCAAGGATTTGGGCTCACACCCGCAAGCCAGTATCGTTGGTATCAGGTACTGTACCAAGTGGGAGTTTTTGTCTCGCGATCTTCATCTGAGTGCATCGCGTTGCCTGGGGAAGCATTACCTGTTCTTGCAATGCTTCAGGTAGTTGCCTTTTTCACGTGGACATAGAATCTGCAATTGTACCTTAATTTCGTCCATCTCTAATGTAAATGCACCACTTTAGGTTTTGAACGCTACCATTTTTTATTTTGAAGCGGTTACTGGTTTCATGTCACACATTATTCTGCTTATGTGCCTTATCATCTACGAAGGACTACTGGGTGGGGCCGCTTATGTGAATACCTTTAAGGTTATTCATCAGGAGGTATGTCTTTTCTTAAAATTATCACATACGCGACTGTCTATCTTGTATGGCAACGCGTTCGCCTGCGCCTAACTTTTCTCCGCGTTCTACGCAGTGAATTCAATGCGTACGCTCCAGTTTGCACAAGGAAAAGACCTGCTCCGTTTTGATTTCGTTTATGCCTTAGTTTTTTCACGTATATTTCCACAAATTTTTATAGTTGTTGTACACGTGTTCTGTTTTCGTTTACACATTATTCCATGTTTTGGTATATTTATAACCCTTTGTTGTGATGAAAGCAATTCGTTGTAAGTTCAACCACTGTATTATCACCCTTTGCCAGTTGGTTTCGCAACGTGTTAGCCTGATTGCCTTTGTAGAAATATCTATGCAACTTCTTCATCCTTTGCAACAGTAGCTCTAGTGGCAGATGTCTTAGTACTATCTACGTCAGAAATAGTTTCTGCACTGGGCATGCAAATTAATACGGAAGCATTTTAAAAGGCTTTCATTAGACCTCATTAACAGTAATTAATGATTTTCTACATGACTGAGCTAACACGAGGTTGGTATAGATATTTCAAGATATTGTTTGCTGTGTTACGTGCCAGAAAATGAAATACCGAATGCTATAGGACCCCTACCAGCCAGAGTACAGATCATTTTGGATGGAGGGAATCGACGAACATCTGTCCTCTATAACAGGGAACCGATTTCGTACTACCTCAATCTTGTAGGAAATCATTGTTACGAGAGCAGTTTTTTCCTAGGTGTATAGAGTAGATTTTCGCAGACATGCATGTCATAATATTTTTTTTGGATAAACTACTCACTGAATGCGAAAAATGTAAGGAAGAATCTCTGTGCCCAAAAATAAATTGCGTGTGGATTGACAACGGATGGGAATCGATGCATGCTGTCCACTCTGCTCCGTCCCTTCATACGCATTGAAGTCAATGCATGCGATCGCGTATATCTTGAGAGACGGTTAATTGTACATCGTCAATTTTAACTTATTATTTATTGCCTACTCTTTTTAATGGCAGGATTGCGAAATCTAACTTCAATGATGCTGATATTACTATGTTATCATTATTATTATCATTGTTATTATATTATCATTCCCGCTGACTGGTGATTGCTGATGGCAGAGATCGATAGAATTAGCTGAGAGACAGGCGAAACGGAGGACCCTCATGGTGTGGTGGTGAACGCGTTACTCCCCGGAAAGGACAATAGCGCGTTCGTTCCCCACCGCATAAACCTGCAGTCCGGAGTTTTGCAAATATCCCAGCAGCATTGAAGCTATATTGTGCATTGTCAGTTTAAAATAATCATAAAAATTCTCCTATCTCCTATTTAATACAGGATCGTAGATTCTTACTGTATTATAGAGTAGAAGCCTAGCTGCTTTCCACTTGTAAAAATTTTCCATAATACTTCAGGTTCCTGCCGATCGCAAAGAGTTCAGCCTAGGGTTCGTATCCATATCAGATACGTTTGGGATTCTTTTAGCCGGTTTTACTGCCATTCCTGTCCATAATATTATTTGCGAACGACCTTTGTAATTTCTGTGTTCTTTCACGGAGTTGTATTTAATGTTTCGCTCCCATAGAAATGTTGTAGAATAAGTATTTGGTGGTATTCTGTGTGTTCTAAAAACATAATTGACTATGGTTTTCACAAAAATTTGCTTCCACTTTCCGGACTCAGTGGTCTAAAATGTGATGATCCAACACTCCCTGGCATCTACGGTTACTACTTATTTGCTTGTTGTGTACTTTTTCGATCATTTAGCTTAGTAATTTCATTAAAATTTTACGTATTTCATCGATATTTTTGTTTCGTGTAATTCTGGTGTTTCTTTTTCTTTTGGTAATGGTATCGTAATTCCTAATGTAGTAATTCTATGGTATTCGGGATAGTGGATAATCAAGTTATATCATCTGAATGAACTTGAAAGTTTTCAGTGTTAGTTTCAGATTGGTAACTCCATAGATATTGTTGCTTAAAAGATCTGTGAATTCTTGTACACACAATGGGACAAATTTTGAAAAGTGGTCAGGAGAAGAGTCTTTGAGGCGTACGTCTACATATTTGCCGTACACACGCGAAGGCAACTAGGAAAGGTCATGAGCAAAGAAACCAGTTTCGGTTCCACCGTTGAGATTGAGGATGCTGAATGAAGGAAGAGAGCTTGTAGAATCAATGAATTGGCAAAAGCACTTCGGTTTTTGGTGGAAAGATTCGTATCTGATCTCGCACAAATAACAAATAATGGTGCATAGCGGAGACGGAAGTCATACTAGAGGTGCAAGCGAAGGATAACGTAGTTCTGAGCTTCGAGGATATGCTTAACACACAGAAAATGACATGAATTAATCTCGATTCCTAACTGGTTCCGTCTTCCATCTCATAATGACCTAACTTACAGTGAGCTTTGTCAATTGAAATAAGGATAATAGAAAAGACTGTAAACGACTAAGGACGGGAATGCTAGTCTTTGCCTATAAGATTTTGTTCTTCTGCGCCCACTAGTTCACAAAACAACGAGTTTATGAAACGATTTAACAGCTTTGATTTGTTCAATAGGACACAATTGTGTACCTGGTGTCATGTGAATGCTTGCGGCAGTCGCTTTAGCCTTGAAAATTTAAGAACTTCAGGTTCCGTTTTAAATTCCTTTTCAAAATCTCGGATTTCAAGCCGGTTTGAAACTAAGATAACGCTTTAAAGGAACCGTATTTACCACTTAAACGGTGGTGAATACTTCTTCTAGAAGTAATCACCAGAAGGCCTTCATCATCTAATTTGATCTCTATGTAGGTATTTCCTGGAAAGTATACGACAGAAAAACTGTGAGGAAAATAAAAGTTGGACGAATTATTACCTACTATGACCTGGACGTTTTCTTAAAAACATCATGTCAGCTCATCGAAACGGTAAGTTATCGTTCGATGTCGAATCTAGCTGAAAGTAAGAAACTGGGTTTACACGTAAAACTGGCGAAGAATTTTCCAGAGAGAAAGGAAGTCCCTGAACCAATATGGCGGATATTTGGACGTCGTAGGTCTATACGGTAGCAATGAACCAAATCTCAAAGCCATCATTTCCAACTTGACACTGCCGTACACTAAGCTTTAGGCTATCCTTTGTGTGTGAAATTAATCGGAACGATGTTATAATGGTATGGTTAGGTTGGTGGCGATCCTTATATGAGATTTTAAGATGTATTAACTGCATCAGTTTATATATAAGAAAACGTGTAGAAGAACTGACATTGCTGCATGAATGAGATTGATTCTAAAGACCAAGGTAAACGATGAAGGATAAAGCTCTCGGCGTTGATCAATCCCTGTGGGATGGCTCATGCATTCCATTCCATTATGCGTCGTAAAACTGACTGAAAGCATTTTTGGACTATACAGTGACTAGTGACCTAGAGTGGGATACCGATGTATCGAGCCAGAAATAAAGGAATAGATTTCCGGTGTTAATCAATCTCTCAGGGATGCGCCGTTCATTCGACTTCACTAAGCATCGTTGGAGGTGATTAAATGGATATCTGGCTTTTACAATGGTTCGCGGTGGCTTCCCGATGTATCGAGCCAGTGCTGCTATCCTCCCAGATAAGTCTGGTACCAATTTGCCGACCCCGTAGGAATGAAAGGCTTGGCGTCCCATGTGCGCGGGGATCGATTCCACGTGTGTGTCACGGTGGCGCCTGCAACCACTGTGCCACACACGCCCTGTAAAAACCAAGGTAATGAAAACAATTGAAGAATGTCAATGCTTGGGAAGCTTTTATAAAACTGAAACTAGAGAACACCTAGAGAAAAGTCCAGCATTTAGAGAACTCTGACCATCAAAAATTATAGAGGGGAATGTGTAGGAATGATAGAACCAGTCATTATCTGGTAGAATGAAACTATCTGATAGTACTGTAGAACGACGTCGTACATGTAAAGTTGATGCAAGTAGTACATATTGTGGCCTAAAATGAGAAAAACGGACCACTTGACTAATGCATTTGACTAAATGCCTATGGATGCCTTCAGACCGCATTGAACTCACTACGCACTCCCAAGTCCGACTTTCTATTAACCTCGGCATTGATTGAATAATTCTTTCTATTTCTGTTCAGCAAACATAATGTGTTACTTTATTCGTTTATTTACGTACAAGCTGACGTTTCGGCGGATTTCGCCTTCCTCAGAGCCTGGAAAGGTCAAGTTGACTACAATCTACATGGCCAAACACCTCCATAACCAAACAGAGAAAACACTAAACCAAGATTTCAATCACATTGAACATAGAATAACTTCTCTGCACACTCACCGCTTTCTATGAGTCTTCCACTGTATATTTCACGTGGAGACCAACCGCACAGAGTTCACACGGAATCGTAATGTGCCCATCTCATCAGAATAACAGGCTTACATACTGCCCAATACCATGCGTGATAATGAGGTATTCCTCCCTGCGGTTCATTTTCGGATTCTTGGAATTAATCCAGAATGCCTCCAGAGTTTTGCACGCTTGTGTTCTCGATTCTTGCGCGTGGATCGTAACCCTTACTTCAAAATCTTCTCCGTTATGTCTCTGCATCCTATGCATGCCTAGTGGAGTATTTGGTTTACGTTTGCGGACTAGATGTTCTTTTATACGGACGCAGAGTGGTGTCTACCCGTTTCGCCAACGTATTCGTCCCCGCACGCTTTACAAGAGATCAGATAGACTGTACCCGAACTTATGCAGTCACCGTCTCTACCACTGGGGCAAATTATGCAATTTTGAGTTGCACATAGACGGTCGTATAGGCGGTTACGAACTAGCTGGCGTCTTAGATTACTCAGTAGCATTTCAATTATCGCTACCGAATTCTCTAGACCGGTCCTTCTTAAACAACGTTTTATAGCTGCACCTACTTCATTTGAAATGAAGGGCAGTATAAACGCGACCTTATTGTCACTAAAGTTATCGTTAGGGTACCTGTGGTTTCCTCTACACCTATCTCGAGCTACAGTTTCGTAGCCATTAAAAATGGCTATTTGCAGCGCCAAATTCCGGGACTCCTCTCTCTGCTCTCTTCCTGTGCACATGCTGGTAGCTGTTCGAAATATGTTTCTCATAAACGCCCTTTTTGTGTGAGAGGGATGAGAGGAGAGGTAATGAACCAAGATGTTTTTACTACTTGGCTTTCTATACCATTTCGTAATGTAACCGTTTTCTGATAGGTTTATTTGCACGTTCAGAAATGGAAGCCAGTTTTCTTTTGGTTTCTCTCGGGTGAATTTAATATACTCTGACTGTTCGTTCAACAACTCGAAGCATCTGTCAGTTTCTTTTTGTGTTGAACAAATGACCAAGCAGTAATCTATATATGTACAGTAGAGTAACGAATCGAGGTCGATTACTGGCGCTTCCATCTTAGTCATGAATGCAATGGCAAGGCTTGGTGCCCCAGTTGTTGCCCCATTGCCGGCCCTCTCATTTGTTATTGCCAATTATTTTGATGAGATGGGCACAATACGATTCCGTGTGAACTCTGTGCGGTTGGTCTCCACGTGACATATTTAGTAGAAGACTCATAGAAAGCGTTGAGTGTGCAAAGACTCTATGTTCAATGTGATTGAAATTTTGGTTCAGCATTTTCTCTGTTTCGTTATGGAAGTGTTTGGCCGTGTAGATTGTAGTCGACTTGACCTTTCCAGGCTCTGAGGAAGGCGAAATCCGCCGAAACGTCATCTTGTACGTAAATAAAGAAATAAAATAGCACCTCGTGTTTGCTGAACAGAAATGGAAAGAATTATTCACTACGCACTGTTCGTATACTGAAAAGAAGAGAAGAGGAAAGAGAAATCAGGTACTCTCGTCAACTGTGCTACCCTCGTTAGTTGAAATATCCTAGCACCGTCTTTAACATATGTTAATATGTAACAGTATCTGTGCATGTTGAGGAAAGTCGTCCAATAGGCAATTCCTCATGAACTACTAAACATAGAATGTAGCTTCACTTGGACCGTATGTGACAGTCATCTATGGTGGAGAAATTATCGACCGGATTCAAAAAGTGTAGCATGAAAAGCCTTGTCGGTAAGACAGACGGAAATAAGATGCATTGAAATCAATAAACGTTGTGCTTTGTGTTCCAGTGTGTGCATTGATGTCAGTACGCTACTGTCACGAATATGTTGAGCACGTGAGAGACCATCCAGTTGGAACGCTGCAAGAAATGACCTAGTCATTAGTGCAGCTATGGAAAGGTTGCCATCACGAAAAATACAGAATTTGTGCAAGGTTATTCGCATGAGGCAAACTGGAAGTCTGTAAGTGGACGATGTTCTAACTCACTGTAGATTTCAAACCGGTCACACCGCATTGGACGTGTTTGGATCCTGTTTACGACGTAGTCGCTTATCAAAACACTAATGATATGACGATTATCAGTGGTTGTTGTTGTGAGTATAAATAGTGGTAGTGAAGTATGATGGTCAACAGTGATGTCTTTGACAATCGACCCACCAGCGGCAGCGGTTCCAGCAGCCGGAGGCAAATCCACACACACGTTGGCAAATTCTGGTGAAGCGAAGGTGATCTTCAAGGTAAAATGTTCTAACAACACCGACTATCGCCTCAAGCCCGTTTTTGGATTCGTCGATCCAGCTGGGACTGCACCACTTGAGATTACACGCACGGTTAGTTTCGCTAAGACTTTTGCTAACAAATTCAGCCGGTACTTTTCCGTGTCTCACTTCTGACTCGTTTGCCAACTGCATAGCTATCTGTGTTAGGAGAATCGGTGGCGGCTATAATTAGTTGAAATGAAGAGAATACTAAAGCTACCTTCCTCTGAAGGTATTTTGGACCTTAGGCGTTGAGTTCAACTGACACTATAAGGGCTAGGCATGGTTGCAAACGTTAAGTGCATGTCGGGCTTCTGTATGTACTAGGTTAAATCGATCCAAATACCATCAGAGCTAGGTTCCATATCGAGATGTCAGACTACTTTTTCTTTGGTGGAGTGGTAAAAGTAACCATAGCCATAGCAGTAATGAAAGACTACGAATGGAAAGCGATTTTCATATACGTAAATAAATAGGTTTTAGATGTGTAGAATAACAATCATTACTGGGAGGAGCGTAGGTAAGAAGAAGCGGGCACTGTCGGTTGCGCATTGTTTGTACGACCGCTAGAATAGCCCCCGAACAACACTATGACACTAGACGTAGCTGTATGAGATAAGGTTATGGTGTGGATTATATCAGACTATATCAGATAACAGATTATGGTATGGATTATGCATGTCAAGGGGTCGAAAAATGAGACTGGTTGGAGACGTATGCTAAAATCGGTGGTGTGTTTCAGAGTGGAGCACCGAAGGAAGACAAACTGGTGATTCAATGGGCACCAGCGCCTGCAGATGCGACTGACGCACAGGCAGCATTTCCAAGCGTTCCGGCCGATCAGCTTCAATCGCTCACTGTACCAATTTCGGCCACTTGAATCTTAAGCAGTGGATAAATAACGTGTCAGTCGGTGTCATTGTAAATAATGAACATTGGTCACCGGCAATTTTCGCTGAAAGCGTAAATGCACGTCGTAAAAAAAGATGTCGCTGATGTCTATTGAATATAAGTATGTCATGCTGATCAAGACGAAAGAGGCACAGAATGTGTATGAACTGAAATATTAGTTCACAAGACCGTACAAAACTGGTATCGAATGGTCAGGTTTTGTTAAACAAGTAGGTGTGAAGTGTTGGAAGATTACTGAGGTTCATGGCGATCTACAGTTAAGATCGTCGACGTGTACGTGAGAGCATACAGACTGTAAAGTGTAGAAAGAACTCACTGGAGACTTCTGGAATGGCAATCTAATGGGAACATGAAGTGTTATGCTGTAATTTCTGAGTGCTCGTGATTATGTCCTGAGATAAGCTGCAAATGGTTAGATCAAAAATCACGATTTTGGTTACAGTCAGCCGTAGATCGATGAAATGTGAAGGAAGAATTGTGTGTATGTCAAGAGGATAGAGAGAATAGAGAAGCATGGACTATCGTTTCCAAAGTTCGTCAGAGTATGCTATGTTCAAATCTCAGTTGGCCTGAATATCCACTCAAAAAGTATCCCAACAGAATGGAAGGTTCTTACGGTTGAAAAAAATGAAACACGCTGCATATAAAGTGTGGGAGGTTTTGTCATTGTGAGTGATAGAGACTGCAGATTAAGTGCCGCTTTTGATGTACGGTCCAATAAGATGAATCTGTTAAAGCAAGGGGGGCGAATACCACTGTGGTAAGCATGTCGATCGTCGCGAGCACGGCACTGGCTTGATTGCGCTCCGCGCCCACGAAATCCCTTATCTTCCTGGAGTCGAGGAAGTGGTACCAGAACTGCCCGGGAAAAATGTTCCTCTCTGCAATCACAATGGGAACGCTTTAACACGACTATCATAGGACTCCAAGGAGAATCGATAAGACCATCATTCTACGACATTCAAGATGAAATGGAAATCCTCAAGCAGCGGCCGAAGCGACACGTAGAATTTTGTAGACTTTGGTGGATGGATGAATGCGGGAAACTCATCGAATGTGAGAAGTGCTGGTATCCACACAGTAGATGTATGACAGGGGCCGTATAAACCAAAAATGGAAGTAAATATCAAAGTAAGTGAATGAGTTCATCGAGTTGTGCTGTTCTTGCTTATATTGTAGTTGTATCAGTCTGATGCTTTTAAACTACGGATCGAACACCAAGCTCTTCAGCACTGTTTATCCAACAACAGAAGCGGTCTTTTATTTGAACAGCTTCCACTTCGGCCTCATCCATTCCATTTCTATTCTCTTATCAACTTTACCCGTTGTTGAGCTTACATGAGGTTGGTAAATTTGTTTACTTGGGCTAACGTTTCACGTCTTTGTCTTGGAAAAGAGCAAGTCTGATTATCCATAGATTAAAACAAGTAGTTTACTGTGAGGGATTTTTAGCAATCAAGCAACAGATTTTTGAAAAATATCTTTTGAGATGCAGCCGGTTCACACAATATCGAGTCTAATGTAGCAGTTTAGGTCTTTACATCCATGTCATAAAGAGTGTACAAAGTATGAGTCATGTGCAAATGAACCGACAATCTGAAGAAAAAACTCGAGTTCAGATGGACGACAAACTGGTAACGTGGACTTCCAGATTATGCAAGTGTCTTTTAAAGTGTTTGTGCAGTTAGAGAGCATTTTGGTCAAGGCAACAATGCAATCTACGGAACAGTTTCGTAAACCTTATTTGGTGGCATAGCTGCTCTTCGTCTAGTATTCTTACTTGACACTTGACACTTGAACGGCCCATCCTCACTGGCTGTGCGGCCACCAGCACAATTACCATTTATCAGAGATTTGTTGGTTAAACCATAGTGGTTCTCTGGAATCCCGTGGTCAGCCTGGCCAAAGTCTGCTTCAGATCTTCACCACCACGGGCAGTCGCAGCCCTTGTGGATCAGAGGAAGATTTGCCATCATGCGACTTTGATGCCAGGACAGTGGCGAATCCTGGTATTGGTTGACTCTTAGCTAGGCTTCCTGATCGAAACACCGGACTCCTTCTCATCTTGGGAGACCCTGTCGGGCGGACGAATTCCCTGCTGTATATCGCAGTCCGACATTCAGGAACACCTCCCAGCCACGATGGGGCGGTTAAGCGTTGGGAGGCTAGTATTTTTACACCTTTTGGAAATCGATATGACAAAGAACTTGTAAACAGCAGATGGCAGACCGATTTGACATATTTGTTAACATCTCTTAAATCCATCTTCCTGTAAAGTAACCCTGCATTGCAGGCTTTTTACTAGCAATATACCCTCAGCATCTCTAATCCGAAAGCAGCGAGCGAGCAGTCTGCCAGAGAGTTAGGTGGGTGTTAATGAGAACTGGTGGCAATTTCAAAAGATATTTACGGTTTATTTTATCGCTGAGCTATCAACGGCATGCAACGGCGCGCTCGTCGAAAGAAACGCTCCCAGAATATGTCTTTTTCTTTCAGATGTTATAAAAGTAAATGGTCTCTCAACGGTTTACCTCCTCATCTTGGATAGAAGATGTTCCTGGGTGTCCGACTGTGATATACAGTGGGATGATTCGTCGTCTCCTTTGTATAATCTCCCAAGCTGAGAAGGAGTTCGGCGTTTCCATAAGGAAGCCTGGCTAAGAATAAACAAATACCAGGGTTCACGACCGTCCTGATATCAAATTAATCGCATTGTGACAAATCTTCCTCTGATCCACAAAGGCTGAGACTAGACTGCCTGTTGTGGTGACGACCTGGGGCAGACCTTGGCCAGGCTGACCTCGGGATTCCAAGGAAACACATTGGCTAAACCAGCAAATCTCCGAAAAAATGGAGATTACGCTGTGGTCCGTAGAGCCACAGTGGACGGGCCATTCAGATATTCAAGTCAAGTAAAAGTGAATGGATTTGCGATGGAAGAGATTAGTGAAATGGAATAGTACAAATGAAGAAACTAGTTTCTCTATTGTCCATCCAAGCACATTGCCCTTTCTTTGGATTTAGAAAAACATTTGTCATAATTTTAGAAACTAAGCTTTGCTGGTGGGCGCTTTTTTATGCCTTCCAGCCTCCTTGACCTCATTTAGCCCTGATGCTCTTCTGCTTCACATCTTACTTGCTGTTTCTCTACAGAGCTTCCAAGTCTGGACATGTGAATGTGCTCTTCTACTTCTGCAACTTGGTGCAGCGAATAAGCACACCACTTTTTGGATACTGGCATATAGTGGAGATTTTTTAACAATTGGCAAGCTGCAAAACGCTATGGATGATGGCAACATTCCAAAAGCTTGCTCGAAAAGGAAAATGGTTATTACGGGTAACGGAGAATAAGGGTTCGACTCCGGAGAGGGAGCCTTAGAAATGGATAATAGACTTCGTTCCCTATTATCATTCTGCACGGATCTCCGGCTAGTCACGAGCCAACGTGACCCGCCCGAGTGGTGGATGAGGGGTTAATCTCGGGCCAAAAGCAACCTTTGCTTCCCTGAGACGCAGGTGGATCCAGGAGATGGACACCCTGTTTCTGCTGCGGCGATTTGGTACATACGTTCGGTATTTACGAGACGTGTTCAGCACGCGTGTGTGGGTGTATTCTAGTTTATGCGGATTGTATTCAACGAATCCAACTCGCCCAAAAGCCTGCGTTCAAGTGACAGGGAAGTATATGAGAGGCAGTTAGGCTTGGCTTACCCAGCAAATGAGCTCCATGTCTACTCTGGGAAAGACTGGCAAGCTAGCCGTGAGTGAGTATACCCAGCCCCATGTTTGCAGCTCACCAAGCTATGCGTGGGTATCAAAAAGCTAAACACGGTAAAATAAACAGGTCTCATTCTTCTGATCCTGAAAGAGTCCATGATTCGGCGACGTTGGGTGGGACGAATATGGAGAGGCTGCTAAAATCCCAGGGTCATTCTAAGTTGCTTAAACCGTAAAGGGCTAAAGTGACAATCTGTACTTACAATGCACGCACACTTGCATTTGAGTCTCCGATAGAAGACTTGGTCATGCAAGCAAGAAGGATGAGGTACGACGTCGTCCGACTGGTCGAGAGGAGACGAAGCCACCCATTCAACGCCGTCTATGACACCGGAGAAGAACTGTTCCTCGGAACATACGACGGTTGACGAGTCGGCGGTCGGCATTCCGCTCAGCACGAGTTTGTCCATAAACATCGATTCATTCGAGCAACTAACAACCTGAATCGGATGTTTATAATTGAAGAGATGTAGATCCGTACCGGCTTCGAGAATCTTCATCCCTTGCGCACCGACATCAAGCTCTGATGAAGACGAAGTCGAAAGGTTCTGTAAAGAATTAGAGAAGTTCTGAAGAGAAGACCATACATTCTTCATGGTCATCATTCGAGATTTTAGCACTAAGACTGGGCCCAGAAAAATGTCTGAAAAAAACCTGAACAGAATCTACTGGCTACTCTTGCACGGTCCAAGGAAAAGTGGAGGATTTACTGGCGCTAGCTCGCGTCACTTCGCAATCAACCGGACGAAATGTGAGAGCAGACACAGGCGATTATCTTTCCATCTAGTACAAACGGGGCAGTGATCCCATTCCATGTGCTCTAAAAACCGCAAGGGTTTTCAACTGAAGGCGACGTGGTCAATTTCGTTCTATTGTTCTTTATCGAGATTCCTCCAAGACTTCCTTTGAAGGAAAGGCTTCTTTAAAAAGCAAAACAATAAAGCCGTCGGCGATGATCGACGCCTGTGGTATGCGCCATGCGCTAGACTCAATCAAGGATTGCTAGAGGTTACGGAATGCATATCGGACCTGCACAGTAACCCGTGGTGGTCTACTGATGTATCGAGTCAGCGCTGCTATCCTCCCAGACATGTCTGCTTGCTACTTGTTGACTCCGGAGCGAGGATCAACTCCATGTGTATTGCAGGGCGCCTATAACTACTGTGCTACACGCGCCCTTAAAGTACTATA